TAAGTATCGGTGTTCAATCGCTGTAATCAAGTGATTGATTGCCACACATGATGATGCCCTTTCAAGTTGAATTCGTACAAAATTGAGACATTGGAAAATAGCAGTAAAATTAGCTAGACCCATTTTAGAAAACCACATCGCAGTATTTGCTTTTGGTTAATTAGATAAGTATGTAAGGTGTCACTTTCACTTGGATTTCTGCAATAGAACAGTAACTTAGTTCACTGTTCAATCGACAGTCAAGACTGCTTAGTTGGCTGAGTGGTCGCAAGTGCATGGAGTCTGGAATTGTACCCGGTATATGGCAATAGGCTCACCATGTAATAGGTACATGGGATTCATAACATAAATTGCGAAAGGGAGTGTTACATTGTACAGTGGCATTAAGTGCCGTAATATGCACCTCTGCCTTCGGGGATATAAGGCGTGATGTTACGTAAAAATTTCTACAATCCGTAAAGTTGCAAAAATGTATTCCATGGGAATCAGGCGTAACACTGAATGTCATAATGTTTGCTGCTAAGCTCCCTTTCAGTGAGACGATATTTGAGCCCGATTCCTTTACAATAGTTATTTTGCAACGACAACCTTCTGTTCAAACTGCTGTAGGGCGTGACGTAACAAACACTCAGATTTAGCTATAGGTATGTGAACGCATTGAGCAAGTTCTACCTATTTAAGAAGTTTTGGCAATTTGCTCATCGAGTCAATAATGTCGTAATTCTTTTAACGAGATATTATGTATATTCGCGACCAGTGGAACATCCGGCTTTGTTCAAACACACTATGTACATCCCCGTGTTAGGTTACTTTCTCCGCTTGCTCTCTATGGTCACGTGTGCCGGAAAATATTGAGTAGTTGTAATCGTGACTGGTATCAGTAATGGCGAGAGCTCGCGAGACTGTGGCAGTTTCCTCTCTCCCTGATAACTGCCAGCACTCCGGACCAGCAGTTAGTCTCTCACGTTCAGGGGACAACGTCCTATATTTATCGAGGCCAGCGCACTTATTTTCAAGTTGATTTCATTCCGCCATTCACTTCTGCCATGCAATTAAATCGTAAACTTAATTCGACGGAAGCATTCATGAAAATTGGTTCGAAGTTTTATCTGAACCTTAGACGGTTAACTTCGGGAAAATCCGAATATTGCGGCCATCCACAACATCGTAACAATATTTCTGAAGTACTGGCGCAGTAACGAGTTCATACTTCCGAGGGCACCCATCCCATTAAACATTTCGTGTAATTTAGAAGGATTATGTGATAAAGTTTTCAAGCGTTCAAGTGAAGCTCGAACTGGCAAGTACGAGTATAAATCAAAGTTATTTGACAAGCGAGATTCTCCAATAAAATGGACATTTTCCTTTCTGCCAGCTTTTCGGAACGCGAACAATGTTATCATGAAACTTTCTCAGTAGGATCTTGTGTTTGTATTGCCGACCAATGTAATTAATTTGAAAAAAGCTAGCGTGTATTCCACTATTGTAAGATATACATTGCACGCGGTACGATTCAAAGATACTGTTTTATTTCCAAGTAAATACGAGTAGGAGCGGCAAGAAATACAAAATAAAGTATAATCAATGAGTCAGAGATGTCGTCGCTATCGCGCGACCTCTAACTCATTTGATAAAACGGTGTAGTAAATCAAAGACCACAAAATCTACAAACAGATAGTTTTGCAACCTTTGAATGTTTACATCCAGCAATATTGGCTCGTCCGACCGACTGCGTACTACAACTGTAATAGAAAGAAAATCGGTATCTTGATTGAATTGTGGTCAGTAATAGCCGGCCATTTGTCTTCATTTTTGACCTCTGCCCAATTTAATGGGAGTTCACCTCTAACATAGTGCTGTTGTGTGGTTGTTCTGTAGTGTGCAGTTTAGATACACATGTTCTGTGCGATGGTAGAGAATGATAGTGATTGTGATCGCACGGATGCCGTATTAATACTTGTCGATGTCCATGACTTGTACGGCGACCGGTAAGTGTTGCATCTTGCTTTATTTATTCAAAACGTCAAACTGACATTTGTTATTGTAACTGTCTAAAACAGAGACAAGCTCGTGATGTTGCGCACCTTAGCCCTGATGTTTACTTGTATATAATATCTTCTATAGGTATATGTCTAAATCAAAATTACTTATTTATACTCTACAAAAATTTATATAGATGAAATCGTATCGTACAACTAATTTGCGTGTTCCTACACTTGGAGGGAAATACACATTCATTAAAAACTAAAGAAAAAATGAGTAATTAAAATAGTTGCTACATTAGTTAATAAATCGAAGTGCAGAGGTCGCACGCGACGCTCGCACGCCACATTACGTAAAGGACGATCGTAGATATAAGTACTACACACAAAAATATTTATAAAATCGATATCGATTACAGAATTGACAATTTCTATTGTTTGCTCGATAGCTTATTTCCAATGACGCTGTTTTCAACATATATGCTTATATTCTGCGGTAGTACGTTAATCATAATAATAGAATACAAGGGACCAATGTTTGAAAGTTTTGTTATCATTAAATTAGATTTGTCTTGTTTGTCTTGTATTCAGGCGATAATTCTACCGCAAAAACCTAAGATCAAAAAGAATTCTTCAATTTTACGATTGTTCCCTACTTAGATCATAATATGTTTTATATCACTAATACCATATACGTGGTGTATTTCAGCTGTCAATACCAATCTGCTGCTTTCTCACAGCTGTTTGTTTACTAATCAAACCTGCTTAAGCTCACCATGCACGGCTGAGTTAGCGGCTTATGTCAATATTAGTCTATATCAATGTATCTCGACTAAAACAGATCATGATTGAGAACCCACAAGCCGGCGCTATGGGCGAAGCATAGACAAACGACATTAGGCTTGTTGTCTGTTCTGCATGCTAATGCAATAGGCATTGGTAAAGGGCATTCTAGTAGCCCTGTGGATCTGTGACCAGAATACTGCCACAATCACACATCAATATGGACGACTAGTCCCACATATTTGTTTCATCAACATTGTGTGTACTGACTTTAAAAACAGGGATTTTTCTTGAGTAAATATTATAACATTAAGTTAACATCCAAACCATTCAACAAATTATTCAAATATCCTTTTCCAAACTAAAACTTGATTTTAATTTAATTATACCCATGACGCAAACAAAAAAAATATCGAAACATTAAAGTTAAAAGCTTTAACGTGTGTAATCCCAGATATATCCATAAATAATGTTAATTCTAATTCAATGCGCGGATTAGATACATTTCACTTATAGACGTACGAACTCGCGTCAAAATTCCACATAAATAAATCCGTGCTACCAATCTAGCGGTCGAAATCATCGTGTTACAAATTGCCATCTGATGTCTGTCATCGGCCTCACACAAAAGCATACAAACAAATTGTAAAACCAATTTTGGCATTTCATTCATCAAAACTTCGTTTGTACTTGGTGACTGGCCAATTACGTAGCAACAATCATTCTGCCACATCGCAATCTCATTTTGATGAGGGCCTGCTATCCTGCTGTCCATAATATTATTTAGACTTAGCATAGGCTCGGTCTATTCATTGAACGATGTAATTATAAATGTCGTAATAAGATTGTCGATCTTTCAAAACTCTGTAAGGGCTGATTCCGTGCAAACATCTCGTCCTCCGTGTCGTTTCCGTGTCTCAGAAAATTTACGAATACTACCGCGTAGCTACTTCGTTATTTGTCCGGACATAAATTACCAACAAATGGACGCCGGCACCGATTCCACTTAAACGAAATCGAAATAAATGGAGCCGCTATAATTTTATCACTCATTAATATTGAGACGCATTAAAAATATATTTTAGAATCTGAATCCGCTTCGTTACACACTTGCATACTTTATTCATGATCAATTACAAATGTTTATTATGAATCAGATTTAAGGAAAGGTTTTTTATTTGAACTTCTTAACAATCGATTTTATTAATATAGATTAATTGCCAAGTATCAGTAAAACGGCAAACGGTGCGGGTAAATTAAAATTAATGGAGGCTGCAAAGTGTTTTGATCTGTCTATTTGTAATTCAGATGGTAGTGTCGTCGGTTAGTCTTGATGAGGCTAAATATAATTAACGTTGTCATTTCCAGCGCCACTATATTTCATCAACAAACGACGCTTCGTTTATAAGAACTATATAAAAGAAATATAAGAAAGAAATATAAAACTAGTTAGCTTTATAAATCCAAATATAATGTCTTTAGACCTATATTGTGTAGTGTGAACTATTTCATTTTCACAGATACTGTTACGTGTCTAGTTTTATATCAAACTATGCGCACTATAATAAACTTAGTTAAAATGGTATTTTAATTAATCATCTCAAATAGAAACTCTTGAAGGACGCACCTTCAGACATTGCCGGAACGTAACGTGTTACGAAACTAGTGAGTTTATGAAGCACGTGGCCTTCGAAGTCTGGAATTAATTCTTTTATGGCGACTCTGCGATCGATTAGAGCGCAGACAGACAAAGCTCAACTCAAATAAATAATTCAACGGCAACGAGAGTGTCAACTTCCGACGCTCTCGCAGGCGATCCCTTGAAAAAGTTGATAATGTGATTTAGAGAGGCACGCCAAGTGGAGCGGCTCCTGCGAGTAATTTGTGTGGCGACGCGGCCTCGCATACTGAGCACCCTGCATCACCCTGCCTCTCCGCCACCGCTCGTACACGCCGCTCTGCATTTACAAGAATCCGTGGCACGTGCACCGCGCACTGTAATTACGATCCAAGCACTAACAAACTTTTGTCTTTGTTCCAGGTGTGTGGAATTATCAACGTAGTAGTGCAAATAAAATGTGCGACAAGTGCAAACGGGAAAAGACCTCTGTGTATGTAGCTAGTGTATCGCGAGGGACGTGTGAGGGTAACAGTTAAGAGCATGTGCGCGTGAATTTGACCACGACGTCGGACTATTCGGAGTGGGAAGCGCTGGCGACCGCGGCCAGCGATGGTATGGACGTTGTATTCGGGAATGAGACGGACTGGGGGTGGAACGCGACCGACGAGGGGGAGAGTACGAACCTCTACAACTACTGGGCATGGAGCATCGTGGACGGCTCACTGATGCTGCTCATCGTGAGTGGGAACACACTGACGATCCTGGCGGTGACGCTGAGTCGGCGGCTGTCGTCGCTCGTGTCCAACCAGTTCGTGCTCAACCTAGCCATATCCGACCTGATGGTGGGCCTCACGTTGCCTTACCATTTGATCTTCTACTTAAACGATGACTTTGGCACTATCAAATGGTCGTGTCTGATGCGCTTTATTCTCATAATCTTAGCGTGTCTCGCGTCCATTTATAACATTATAGCGATAGCTGTTGACAGGTCAGTATAACGACACATTTTATTCCTTCACGTTTCTATTCTAATTATTTATAGTAACTATTTTAGTAATATTGTCACACCGCATGCGCCGCCTTGTTTAATTGCTATAACTAAAATATTACCTACAATACTCGGTTAAATCGACTTCAGTTGTAAAATTTACTAAAACAATATTGTTATGAATTTCAGGTACATAGCGATAGTGCACCCACTCCACTACAGCCGGTACATGACCAAGCTAGTGACGCGGCTGCTGATGAGCGCCACCTGGTCGGTCGCCGTCTGCATCAGCTGCATACCCGTCTTCTGGAACGACTGGCACGAAGGAGTTGCTTGCGAGATGAATATGGTCTGTACTTTTACGCTTAAAATTAATAATTTGAAGCCTAGATATTTCACAAATTTGAGCTTCGTACAAATAGTAAGATTTACGACTGTGTCATAACATTAAAAAGCGTCTTAGATGTTTGAGAGCACCATAAAATACTTATAATATCGCTTGTAATCGAATTTGAACACAAAACTGTTTACGTACAACGCGAATAAGAGGTACAAAATGACAACTATCTGCGGAGACTGAAAAACTCGTGTCAACACATTCCGTAATACAAAACAGCACTTATCTGAAATTCATAGTAAAACGAAATGGGATTCTCGAGGCACGTTCCGCAAACCTATTACATAATACACAGATAAACGCAGTTTTGGGAAGTATATCTATTGATACTTAGGCATTTTTACCGTTAGTAGGTATTTCTAAACACAATCTTTGAAAACAAATAGGTGGTGGTATCTTATGTTAACAGAAATGTTGTGGATTCCAGGTGGTGCCCAAGAAATACACGACGAGTATACTGGCGCCGATGTTCTCCTTGATCTGGTTGGTGATGTTCATCCTGTACTGGCGGATATGGCGCGAGGCCACCTGCCATGCACGCCGCATGAGGGCCAACACCTGCTGCCCAACGGGGGCTAACGATTGGAAGAGCATACAGGTAACCAACCATTCTTATGTATGTCAGTTGCTAATTGGAGATTTTCACCTAAGACCGTTTTTAAATATAAATGTGATCAACAAAATAACACATGACACATTTTGTTTTTAAAGAGTAACAATTTAGTAATTTATTCGATCTTCTGCATAAAAATCTACTTTTTGGAGCGAGAAGCCGAATAACTGACTACTTAGTGGATAAATCTAATCACGTGTTGGTGAGAATTCAAATGGAATTTAACATGTCCGCAGGTGGTGCTCCTGGTCCTCGGGTCGTTCTCAATATGTTGGATGCCGTTCGTGGTGGTGGCGTGTGCCCAGACGTTCCCTATCATGCCGCTGCACAATCACATAGCGTACCGCGTCACCTCGTCGCTAGCTATGTCAAATTCCGGCATAAATCCACTTATCTACGCGTGGAAAAACGCGGGCTTTCGTGCCGCTTTTGCAAAGTTACTACGATGCAAGAGACCGGACACGTCTGAATACAGAGGCTCCCCGGCCCCAGAGAGGAAGCGAGGCTCGGTGGCGCTGAGAGAGGGGTCTATCACGCGGTCGAGCGCGCCGAGTGCGCTGTCCAGCCTGGGCGGGCGGCCGGCGCGGCTGCTGTACATGGAGCACGAGGCGGACACGGCGCGCTGCCGTATCATCGAGAACGCGGGCTACGTGGAGGCGGAGCGCGGCGACACCAACCCCTCGTACGCGCCCGACGGGCCCACGCCGGTGCACCGGCCCGCCACGCGCGCGGACTTAGTGTAGTGTACAAACGATTTTTAGACGTTTTGTGGGAAACGTGAAACGCTTCTAGTATTTAAAGTTGTTAGTGACTGTAGGTACCCCCTTCGCATTTAGGTACCTGTTCGGATCTACGCTCAAGTTTTTAAAAGCTTTATTGTTGAATTTTTATTGAGAGATTATAATGAGTTCCCTGCCATAACGATGTTTTTAAAAGAGGTTCTCTATCAAACAAAGATGTTTAAATTATATAAAACTAAATTAAAAAATGTTCTATGTATTATTAAAGTATGTAAATAAATGTAGTATTTATTTATTTTATATCCTAGAATACTTACATCACTTTTGTTTAGGCATTCAGGAAAGTAACTTAGAACGCCATCTATGGCAAAACAGTGGAATTAAATGTAAACCCAACTGAAACATTGAGGAAAATGTTCACCAGATGGCACTAAATAAAACAATGCCAGTTCCTAAACCGAAATTAAAGATTTCTAAAACACTAATCCAGATTCCATTTTACAGTAATTAAAGCTATGATAACCATTAAAATTAGAAATGTGGTAGTAAAAGTTTTGAATATGCCTAGTACAAAATAATAGCTGATAACATCATGGACAGCACGTACTCCTGTTTATTCCTACTTTGATTTGTACAATCAAAGGAGGTCAGTTACGTCGGGTGATAATACTTAACGAACAACTTCACATAATATCAAGTACTACATTAGGTACACATATATTATATTTTTATTTAAAACAGAATTTAAATAATCTGCGCACCATTAAAATAACGAGTGTAACGAACCAGTTAGGTTGATTGATTTCTAACAGTTTATGAAAGTAGAAATTCAAGTGTAAGTATAAAACCGCCTTATATGAATTTATGAAACGAATTATTATAAAAATAAGTTTAGCATTGAAAGTATCGTCATAATATTCTATTCGGTTGCCAACAGCACTGACTACGACGCACATAGGAGTATTCGTATGTTAAAATCGGTTAAAAGTCAAAAGTAAAAAATTACTCAAAAATACATTCAAACCATTTTTTGTTTAAGTTTAATAACCAGTCTGTCAATTGACCGCCATAATACTTCTACCCGCACTTGACTCTTATCGTAAAGTCAGTTGGAACGCAGTCAATTTTAGAATCGCACGTCTTTGTTCGCGACGCTTGCGTTTGTGGTATTTAGTTCTTTCGTTATTGTAGTTTCGTGTGGTTGACCTCAGTGAAAATATTAATTTAATATGGAAGTGGAAGGTATGTACCGTAATTAAATATGTTATTTTATTATTTTCTGTCTGTATTATACGTATAGGAACTATATTTAACTTGACCTTTAAGAGCATTTATTATTACTTTTAATTTTGTTATAACAGTGTTTTTGTTTAAGTGTCTGGTCTTGTCCAGCTATATTTTTTATATAGAGACAAAATTTAGGCTTATACCAATCATATATCACAATAAAATTGTCCGCCTTAATCCGCCATTTTGTTTTTTATCCATTCAAAGTTAATGCATGTGAAAGTTGAATTATTTCAACATTGTAATTTTTTCTTTTTGCTTTCGTAGATTCTTCTGAAGCCGCCAGAAAAATTACCAGAAGAGCTTTATATGACATCTTGAATGAATACAAGGGGAAAAAATGGATGAAAAGTTTTCTTTAATGGAAAAAAACTTGTGGAAATGACTAAATGTCCAAGTGAACAAAAAACTGTTTTAAGTCGGGCCCTAAGGTACTTCAAGGGAGAATTCAAGAAGAAATGGACAGCCAGTAGTTACAAGGATGAACGTTTCTTGAAAAATAACGAAAGATTTTTTGCTGACCCAGAATGCTCTTCTCGAATTACAGGCATTTTGATCTAATAAAACGATTTAAAGTAATCTTAGAAGTAATATCAAGTGGCAACAGCATTGATGTTGGTAAATTTGGAGCCTATGCATATGAAACTGCTGAAATGTACACAAATTTGTATAGTTGGCATCCTATGTCACCAACTATACACAAAATTTTAATGCATGGTGCCTATTGGTCCTACCTATTGGTCAATTATCGGAAGAGGCAGCAGAGGCCCGCAACAAGCACATACGGTATTATAGATTAAATTTTTCTCGAAAATTTTCCCGAGTCGATTGCAACAGAGATATATTAAACAGGCTGTTACTAAGTTCAGACCCGTATTTAAGTTGTAGCAGACCAAAGGTACAAAAGAAAAGTAAGCCATTTTCGATGGAAGCAATTGGTCTTATGGTCGCAAGTACACCGCCTTTACCTCCAAATGAAAATAATGGCAAAAAAAGTATGGAAGAAGACGAAGAACATGAAGATGAACAACTTGAGTCTGACTAATCTATTTTTTTCTTTTTTTTTTAATTTGTATAGGTTTTTTTTTAAATAAATATTTCATCATCATCATCATTTCACCCGAAATAATAAATATTTAATAAATAAATATAAAATATCATTGAACTTCGTCTTTCATTCGATGAAATTGCAAATAAATGCGAAAAAAAATTTTGACCAGTTTTATTATGCAAATACTCCTATGTGCGACGGTCTGAGTGTAACTTTTAGATGCAACATTTCAACCTTAGTGACTGGGACAACAAGAATCGTTATAAGATAAGGGTTGAATATTATTTAAAAACACTTGCAGCTAACTCAGCTCATTTGTCGACTAAGAAATTAGCTTTGTGAAACTCGTTTGATGATCAAATAAATAGTGATGATAATGTATGTAGTTATTAACTAAAGTTTGCAAAGGTTCTCATGTATGGTAAAATAATATAATCGTTCTTGAAGCTCTCCAAATTATACATATTGATTGTAATGTAGAAATAATAAAACACTCACCTCGACTCCAGTCACGCCGAGCGCAGTCACCAAGTTGGGTGTCATCCTGAACGGCACCTTCTCTGGCACCCGCAGCGTCTTGCCCTTCTCGAAGCACACGTTATAGTCTATATGCACCACCTCACCAGAAGTAAGATCCACTAAAACATTGTCCAAGTGCCTGTCACCTAGTCCGATTATATAGCCTATCATACTCATCACGGCCACTGAGTAGCTGTACCGACGCGTCATCTGCCACCACTGCTCAGGGCTCACACTGCTGCACCACAGCTCTCTCCAGAGCAAGTCGCGCGGAGTCTCCGTCGACAACTCATGCAGAACTTGCTTCAATATCGATACAGGCCATTCCTTTCTGTTCTCCGTTGAAACGCCGGCTTCTTTCAAAAGAGGATTTAGCTTGTTGTAGAACAACTCCGATGGTCGTAACACATTCACAGTCTTGTTAGTTTTAGCCGATAAAATAGCAGCTTCTCGGTTTTGCCAACGTTTGTACAACGCAAACAAAGGTGTCACATTATCTACCCAACTAATCAGTCCCGATCGAGGACCCAAAGGTATTACAGAGTAATGGCGCGCTCTATAAGTTTGGTTGTCATTGTTTTCAGAATCCCTGGCCATCATTGTGTTAGTTATAGATAGCAACTGCATGATTCTCTCGTCTAGATGCAAATCTTCTAATCCTTTGAACAAATACGTATAAGCTTTTCCATCCGACCCGTAAAAGACAGTTTTTTTGGCCGAGTCTTGGTAGGCAATATAGCCACATTATTTTCCACTGCCTTGATCGTAACTCTTACGGCTCGCTGGTTTGTATGTACTCCTGGCATAGTAATCACGGTATTTTTAAGTTCTGCTAAAACAGGACTAATGTCGGACATTTTCAAAATGTATGAAGTTCTTTTATTTACTTTTTGCTGCAATTTTATTTGCAGTTGTTTCAATGGGGCCCATGAGTCCTGTGGTTTATCTGGATTCGCGGGGTTCTTTAGTTTGTCAATGACATCCGCGATAAGAGACTGGAATTTATTTTGGAATGACACTTCGTGTGGTGTCTCGGGGTTTGCTGAAGTCACTTGATACAATTGCTCCAACACACAAACAATTGGTTCAAATATAATGCGATGTTTCTCTTTGATAAGTTTGTCTTTATCTTCGGCAGACAAATGAGGATTATTTTTTACTTTCGCTACTTCCATTTCTAACTGTGAAAGTCGCTTTGTAAATTCAGAGTGATGTTGAACTAAAGTACCCAGACATAGCTCATCCCAAAGCAAATTAATTCTCTGTAACTCTTTGACTAATAGCTTCACCTGCAAAATAGTTTTCGGTGCTTGTTTAGCGAGTGTTTCTACCATATCCAAGAAACAAGAGTTGAGTTCATTATTGATTACTTTATCGCTGAGAGAGTCTTCTACATCAAGATTATCTTCACCACTGCTTGCGACGTTACACAAATAGGATCTTGCAACATTCAATTCTATTAAATCTTTCTGTTCGTTTTCCACTGCGCCAACAACTGCTGGGAAAGTGATTAAATGCGGAGTGTCTTCTGCCAACCTACACAACAAGTCAGATACACATTTTCTCACGTAAGTTTCCGGGTGGTTGAGACGGGAGAACAATTGGGGAATAATTACTTTCCAAGGTTGAGTGGGGGTGTTTGCTAATCCAGATTCCAAAACTGTCTGCAATTCCATAGCATGTTTTACGATCAAACGTAACAGTCTCAATGTTGCATTAACAACCGCGTTTTCTCCACTATGTTTATATAATCTGATGCACAAATAAGCTGTAGAAATTTAAAGTAAGCATCCGCCGAGAGTTCGAAATAGGAAAACACTCGCTTTTGCGCTTGGCGCCAAATGTCTACTAACAATGCAAGGTGTTCAGGGAAAGCATTACTTAAAGACGGTACAGTCCGAAGCTGACTCTCTATCATTTCAGAAGTGTTGATTTCGTTCCAATCAATATCTTCGTCATCGCACGTAGCTTTTGTTTTAGACAATATTTCACAAACTGCTTCAAAGTCTTGAGGTGCACATCCAATCATTACGCTCTCTATCTGTAATTTATCATTTTCTGTCAACTGTTCTCGAGTCTTAGAACTGAATTCAACCATTTTTCGACCCCACCTAAAGCACCAAGCAGCAAAATTAGCCCAAGCTTTTGCCAACCCCGGGCATTGATTCACTCCAAATTGTAGTAATTTACCAACAGCTGAGTCCGACACGGGAATAACATTCTCCGATATGTTGTTATCCACCAGTCCAATTTCTGGTAGAACTGATACTAGTTTGAGCAAGGGTGAGTCCACGTCCAAGATATTCTCAGTCTCGCTTTGGACCCATTTCGACAAAGTGAGTACAGTCTAGTCCCTTTTTCTCTTAATTCATAATTTTGTTCACCCATTGCTAATCTCTGAGAAAATCCATATGAAATGCTCGCACAAAGATTGACAGCGCGTATTTTAGTTTCTTCTTTTACATAAGTCAATTTACAAAGCTCGGCCAACGCAGTAGCGTTGTTAAGAGTCCAAATTTCAAGGTCGTAAGTATTAGTCGATAAAAGAAGTGCTTCACTTAAATCGTCCAAGTTATTAACTTGTCCTAAACACATTTGGAAAGCTGAATTTTGTTTAAAATGATTTAAGAGTTCTCTTTTGGCCATGACTAGGTTTGCGTTTTTCCTTGCACTTTTGATTACATCTAGCCGAAGGCATTCTGCATAGAATACATTTTCTTCTGTCATATTTAGTTTAGTGAAATATTGGTTCCACCATAATATTCTGCTTAAGTTTTTAAATTCAGTCCCGTACTTATATTCTTTTACTGTAGATGGTTTAAAAGGATTAGTAATAAGCTTTCCACTCTTTACAATGTTGGTTAACCCATGATTAGCTAACTGCAACACTGCAACCTCTTTTAAGAAATGTACGGCATTCGTTCTGGAGAATTCTTCTGCTTGTGATTTAAGCAACAAGTCACATTGTTTTAACAAATCTTCATATTTATCATTATAATCACTGTTGTACATCTTGACTGCAGTGCACATAAGAGTCAATTCAATTTTATTCAAGAGACCTTGATAGGAGCACACATTCTTGGGAATTTCATTAGCTTCACTATCAAGTATATCCCAGTTAACGAGTTCCTCCGGAATTTCTGTCGTATCTTCGAAAAACTTCAACGTCGATAAATAGCTCCACTGTGAACTGTTTGCGTTAAATTGATCTTTGTCTATCCATTCCTGCATATCTTCCCAGCTTTGTATATGTTTATAACTTTCCATGATTTGCTCGTCGATGAATCTGTTACTCCTTGTATCTACTTGCGACGCTATTTCAAATTCCTTCGATTCTTCCTGAGGACTTAAACTGTTTATTTTCTTATAGTACTCTATGGCTGATTCATGTTTAGAATTGGCCTGTTCAGCAGCTCCTTTAAGCCAGAACAGCTTCTTATCAAAGTTTTGTTTAATCCACACATATAAACCAAGTAACACTTCTGGCTCTTCGATTTTGATGAGAGCCCTGGCAATGCTTACTGTAATCGCTTCAACGTCTATATTGGTATTAGAATTAGCGGCTGTTTGCAGTATGAGGGAAGCATGGTAGATGGCAGCACCAAAATGTCCTGCGTGTAAGCTGACGGCAAGCGCAGCGGGACGAACTCTTGTCAACCACTCCCGACAAGTAGGCCAGTTTGTATGGAAAAATGTTTTCACAGGCTTAGTAACAGCTGGCAATACAATAGCAGTGCCCTCAGCAGCATTGTAAATGTACTTCTCTAAGAACATCATGAACTCGGTTATCCAACGTGTCCTTGTTTGTTCTAACGTTACAACTTCCACCACATTTTGTTGATCATTACCTAAATATTTAGTGTCATGAGAAGATATCTCTCTGGCTATTCCTTTTAAAGCTCCCTCAATCCTCATAAATGTCTCGTGGGGTTTGCCGAGAATAGTTCGTAACTTTAAAGACACACAAGTTTGAGCCAGTTCTGAAAGTGCCCAACCTACGCAAATAGATGAAAAATTCATAGCACATTGTCGAAAGAACAATATATTATTTTCATCAATATCGGGAGTTTGCAAAGGCCACGACGTTAAAAATGCATCTACTAAAGCTTTTTTATCCTCCAGTGTAGACTGAAGAAGGCAGTTCATTATTAATTTAAAATGCTGGTTTGAAAGTACAGTAAAAGATCCATGCATAAGATACTCTTTAAAAGAATTGGCTTGGTGTCACTATTGAGTATGTTCAAACTCATCTTCCTTGCAGTGAACACTTTAACTAACTGTTTGTCAAGCTCCAACTGTACTATGTCCCAAGGTAAGTCAAATAGTACATCTTTACAAACATTGGACAATGTTTTATTTTGATTGTCAATGTGTAATATGCAAAGTACTGCTATTGTTTTCAACACCATAACATTCCAAGTGAGAGTTTTGTTTTTCAGTAAATGTTGTGAATTTTTCATTACAAGCAAAACAATTTCTTCATCGAAATTATATGCCAATGATAACATATTAGTTGTTAGAACAAAGAACCCTTTCGACATGCTGACAATAGGTAAATATTTGTCTAACTGGCAAAATATATCAGATACCCAATTGAGAATCAATATTAAAGTTTCTTTAGGGGCTTCTTCATCCAATACCATGCTTAGTGTATTGAGGATAACGGCTAAATGACCAGAAGTGGGGCTGGTGCTGGATACATCACCAAGGCTCAGATTAGATAGGCCAAAGATATCATTAGCTCGTTGCTGGGTATTCGTAACCAAATCACTAGAAGCAATGAAATGATTATTTTTTTTACAGTGTGAATGAAGCAAGTACAGTACAGAATATTGAAGGGCTGGCTTTTCCTTAATTAGTTTTTCAGCATGAGGGCACATTTTTATGGCTAATAGTTCCAGAATGCTAGGCTGTAAAGCCCACATACCAATTATAGAATTACTTGCATTTGCCAGTTCTGACAGACATTGTAGATAAAATATTACATTTTTCTCTGCATTATCTTTATCAACTTCTTCTTGGTAATCTGGTTTTATTATTTGTATGTCGGGTATTATAACTGAATAGGAATTTTGAATATCTGTCAAAACATATTTGTATGTTTCTTGCAAAAGTGGAATGTTTTTCAAATTTAGTAAATTACTGTATACTGACAAAACACTGTTTAAAATAGGAGAACTGTCTGAGTAACGCAGTGGCCGTAAAAAGGATTCAGGACCAATTGCTTGTGAAATGAACTCAATCGGCAAGTTAGATGCTATTTCCTTAATTACGGTTGATATTAAGTCAATAATGCTGAGACTAACACTTTCTTCTCCTTGCAAAAAGTTGGCCATCTCCTTAGATATTAAGGCAAACAGTGCTGGAGAACAAGATGAAGACTTTGATTGTAAATATTTCAAGAGTAAAGCAATGCATTCATTACCTGCCAATATAAGGTCAGCTTCAGCATCATTCTTCATAGTTTTTGACAAAACTTGTAATATTTTTGTAAATGCTTCACTAAGAAATGACCAAGAAACAATCTGTGATACTGTAGGACTCAACAGAGTCCCTAAACTCTTAACAACAGTATTGAAAACATTCAAGAAAGATGTTATCTTAAGCATGCAGTCTTCTGGAGTGGTGACATCATTTTGCTTTTCAGTGCGATTTGGTTCCATTTCTGTAGAATGCTACCATATCTTCCACAAACTGATTTAAGAGGTTGACAGAGAATCCTACATCAGCCTGCCAGTGCCGACTCAGTTTAAGCAATGACTGTAGGGCAAAATCTTTAATTTTCTTGGGCTGAGCATTATCCACATGCCACCCAACAAGTATATCTACAGTGTCCACAAAATGGTTGGCAAAATGTTCTGGATATGAATTTGACAGGATAATCATGGCATTTATAGCACACATAAACACATCAGCTGAGTCAGTACCTTCAATGATAGTCTGGAGCCTGTCTAAAGTGACTTCAGCAAAGTCAGCTAAATGTGGAGTTTGATAATCAAGTTGAAATGTCTCTGTAAATGAGAGTGTTAGGTAATGTTTGATTGAAGTGTTATGGACTCCATAACTAGCAGCAATCCATTCCAAATGTTTCCTAAAATCAGGTCCCATGACATAACCAATCCTTCCAAGAACTACAGATGCACCTTCTTTTGTCTCAGGGCCAGGAGCATCATATAGTACATCCAATAGTGATTCAACTAATATATCATATGAACGTCGTATGTATCGAGAATTTTCAGGCAGCATGACGGCATCCTGAAGTTTGCTGCATATTACTAGTGATTTTTCCATGTCTACTTCAGCACATAGGCGACGCAGCAGCTTAGAGATGCGAGGGTCCTCGGGCAGATTGACAACCAATTCTGGACGTTCATAGAACTTGTTGCTGCTATTTCCCTGGGCCCAGGTGTCGTTCGAGGACTGGTTTAGCGTTTCGTGATATTTGAATGAGTTGTCTAGGGGCTCACGATCTCCACGGGGCGGGAATCCGCCTCGACCTCGTCCTCCTCGTCCGCCGCCTCGAGACGGCCTGAACTCGGTGACACGACCTCGGGACCGATACCTGCCATCTCTGGACGGTCCCCCAAATGACGAGGATGCATCGTACGCACCAACATAACCTCTGACCTTATCGTCCGTGTTTTCTTGTACGATTTCATCCCTATCCGGAGCGTCCACACACTCCGCTCCCTTGGGGGCTTTTACTTTACTGTTTGCAGTGGTGGATATCATCACTAGAAATTTTATCAAGCACGTAATTATCACCACACATGGCCGTAAAATTAAAGCAAAATACGGACAAAACAGACACTCTTCGCCAACAGTCACTGTATATCATAGACAAGATATAGTTGACCTGTCAGACTGTCACGTCTGTCAATAAGATTTGTCAATTAGACGGAATTAAAAAAACGCGACAATGTAATGTCAGTATGTTTTTAAACGAAGAATGTAAACAATAAGATTAAACCTGAGTAAACCGATTTACTACAGATTTATTGATATATTTCAATGTTATCTAAGATTTGAAGAGCATATTAAATTGTATATTCGGTAACATGGTTCTAAAAATGAAAACTTGAATCCGTTTATTCTTGGACTATTCAGTATGTTTTAGTAAGTGTTGAACGTTTGTACATGTCATAGACTACACAAAGTTTAGAAAGGTAAATATCATTAGTGTCACTATAACCTCACTCAAAAACATGTTGATTTGTGTTTATCAAAAAGTATAACAAGTTTAAATTATTAATAAAAGAAATATTAATGAAAATGATATCTACCATGACGAATACCACTGATACTAAGGTTAAAAAAGTAAAGACTCCAAAACGCACTCAAGATTTTAAAGGTATGTATATTTGTTGCAATGCATGGTAATAAATTTACTTTAGATGATTTTTCTCATTAAAATTCTGTTCTTTATTCCAGCTGTACAGCTTAAATTAAATGAAGATTCGGTGGCACCACACACTATATATCTTAAAGAACATGTAGTTAGAGAACATACTGCAGACAAGCCACAGGGTCGTACTTTGTTGGTAGTGAATGTGCCGCCATACGCAGATGAAAAAGGTATTACCAATGCATTCCGCGAAGCTGGCACCGTACAATCAGTTCAACTTTGCTTAAAACCTTCAACGGCTGAAGTAAAATTAATCAAGAAATTCTTACCGGATCCAAACAAAACCACATTTAAAGCAGCTTACATAGTTTTCAAGAAGGTTGCCGAGTTAGATAAAGCATTAAAATTAAGCGAACTTCTGCCAATGAACTCAGAGGATCATCAAATTACAACAGGAATTAAAAAATGGATTGAGGAATACAACAACACCATTGTGTTGCCAAAAGTACTTAAAGAAAATGTGGAAACATTCATGAAGCAGTTTGATGAAACTACAAAGAAAGCAGATAAGAAGGAGAAGGAATTAGAACAAGAGGATGACGAGGGGTGGGTGACAGTCACTAAGAGAGGGAAGGTGCAGAGTTTTGCACGATCAGAAAAAGTGGAGAATAAAATAATGCAGAAAGAAGAGAAAAATAAAAAACGGAAAGAGCTGAAGAACTTCTACACTTTCCAAATACGAGAATCAAAAATGAAGCACATTGTATCACTTAGGCAAAAGTTTGAGGAAGACAAGAGGAAAATAGCACAGATCAAACAGAGTAGAAGGTTTAGACCATTTTAGAATAAATAAAACTATAAGTTGTAATTATCACAGATTTTTATTTATACTATTTACACTGTGTTTAAGTAATTATTATGTACTATATTCTAATAATGGACTGTACATTACACTCTTTCAGTTAATAATAACAAAGATTTTAAAGTTGCAACCATCACAGATGGTAATTTGTGCAACAAGTGCTAAAAGTAAAGTTTCAATTTAAGACATTACCAGCTGAATGATTAACCACAGACTGGCGAAAGAACTTGTCAAATTGTTTGCTGGTGTGTTTTAATGATAATCCGCAGCAGTCTGTTTTCAGGCAGCGTGTCTAATGCTGCAAGGAGGTTGCTAATATTGCCATACACACAGCCATTAGCTAGTGCCACTTGCACTGACTGCCCTATCCTGTCCAGACAATCCTGTAACAAATATATATAATTTTAAATGTGAACTTTGACAATAAATTATTACTGAATAAATATTACATTATTATGTATTGGGTAAATATAGGTCCATTACAGTAAATTGCACAATAATAATAATTCTGTCTGGGGTCATGTGTATTTAAAATTGTATGTTTGTACCATATTTACAAGACAGGTAGTGATGAGCGCAGACAGAACAAAAAAATATTAACCTGTAACTTATGATCATTCTGTATCTTTCCACCTCTCTTCAGCACATTGTGTGCATATGACTGGACAACTGGCGCGAGCGCAGCCAGGTGCTGTGCATTCACAGCTGTGGGAGGCCCGTGCGTGCGTCTTCCGGCGCGCAAACTATGCAGTACGCCCAGGTGCAGCTTTATATAAAACTCACTCTCTGTCAGAGGCTTACTTGTCACTGTTTTTATCAAGGATCTGTCACTTTCACCCTCCAGTTTAATTTTCTTAAAAGGTACAGGTACTTCCACCATTTCTGTGTCTGTAAGAAATAAACAGGTTAATTAACAAAAATTAACATTTCATCTATATTCTACTACATCTATATCAAACTTATCAAAATTATAAGTTACGGAATACTTTGAAAGTAAACCAAACATCGTGTGTTAGTGCTTACCATCATCAACAATATACAGAGGAGCCAATGCACACCAATGTATGAGACCAGCTAGGGGAGTAACTGCAGCCATAGGAATGGATCCACTGGGGAGCGCTGCTGGATTCAACTGAGCAGACATGCATAGTGTGGGGTTCGAATAAACCTGCAATAAACATACATAATATATTTGATTTAACCAAATTATACAACATTCTTCTTATCCCATGAAGAACTAATCAAAATTGTAGAAAGAAATACAATAACTAACATTTTACTCGACAATTCAGTTTGTCAAATACCTGAAGAATTACATATGTACTCTCATTTTCAATACATTTAAATTACTAACCCAAGCAGTTATGACCTCTAACAAGTTCTTAGGAGGCAACTTATTATCATTTGTCCCTTGAGCATCATGCATGTACAGCTCAGTTACAGCAGTAATGAAGTTAGACACAAACTGTGGAGCTGTATTCGCTAGCGACTTCAGAGCCAACTGATTTGAAGTGTTCAGATAGAAATGGTCTCTGATGACATTCTCAACCAGTTGTAAGGACTGTGATGATGAACAGCCCATTTGTTGCAGCCAAACTCCAACTGCAAGTAGCACCTGCAAAACAACAATATTATGTAACCATCATGATGAAAAATAGCCGTTCTTAATAAAATTAGAATTATGTATGTTGCATTTCTTAAATACAGTTCAATATTTCATTGGTTTACTGTTAAATAGTAACTAGAATTAAACTCACTGGAGTACTGGAAGCTGAAACAGCCATACTGGCAAGAATGCTAAGAATTTTCAACCTCCTTTGACTTTCCATGCCTCCAAACAGTGATAAGAAGATAGTATTCTTTGTGGTTTCATTAGTACAAGCCGACAAGTAGTCACATATTATATCTATAAGTTGTAAATCCTGTAATGGAGTCAAACCTCCACTTCTTCGCCCGCTGCGCCTGTCAGACTCGCAGAACACAAATTCTGATATTATATCCATTGCTATGTCCAACTGCTTATTTGAAGGAGCCGCCCGACCAACTAGTAGTTGTTCTGTAAAATGGTTATTTACTTAACCCCTTTATAAAAATCAAATGACAGATATTTTGTAAATCTTTAATTTAACAAAATTATATTATTATGCAAAACCTGATAAGTAGTGACAATAGCGCCTCTATCTATACACACTTACCAATTCTATTGAGGGCTTCCTTAGCACAAGCAGGAAATTCATATTTCCTTAGTGAATGTTTCAAATCTGATACAGACATCTTGTCAACAATGTATTTTTTAATGTTATCTTCTAAATTTTCACTTTTAGCTGTTATTATTAATTCAACATGTTACACAAAGTTTAGCAGAAGTTTCAAACGATTAATTTGAAAGTAAGTAGTAGTTTTTGACACACTGATTACTGGGATTTGGAACTGAGTGTGAGCTTGAGGTTGAGGTGTTCAGCAACAGAGACAGTTCAGTCAGTCAGTATTTTCAAAATAACTCTGAAAACACGATACTTCTCAATACATGAAACTTCAAACCATTTATTAATTACTGTGGTAGGTTCTATTAAAAATCTTATAACAACAATCGCAAGCAAAACATCGATCCACAACCAACAAATCACCTATACTTATTATCACTTAATAAACTCTTTGCAACAATCAATCAACCAAACCAAATGAAATCAACCAACTATACAATAATAGTGTAGTAAAATTCCCCTCAAAGAGTAAACTAAGATTCCCAGTCCCACTTCCAACTCTGATGATTCTTTTTCAATTTCATTATGTCAAACAATTGTCAAAATCAAGATCATGCCAAGTCTATCCAAAGAGTATACCTAATGTAGATAGTCTATCTATTACTATAGTCGAATAGGTACGTGTAGCACTAATAAGACTATATCTATGGTATGTAGTATCTTTAAGTAGTCTGTGGATGGCATGGCTTTCATGAAATGTTTTCAGAAAGAAATTAATTGAACCAAACAATAATATTAAAAATTATTTCGTTCGTTCTTCTAAGACTAAGACAAAACTAAGAAATGTAAATAAAAATAAAAAAAAGAAATGTAAGCATTTTTATCCATCTTGATATTTTTCTTCTTGTTGGTTGGCAAACGAGGTTTCTTTGGTTGCTTGTTTTATGGACTTTTGGACTTGACGTTTGAGTTTGACAGTTGACGTAGCATGAAATACCAATTACCATACGTACAGGTACCATCTTTGTCAGTTTCAGTTTGTCGGTGAATGTGAATATGCGGTGAATTCGTCAATCTTTGTTTGTATTTGCAGTTTGCACTGGTTTACAGTCTTCCATTTAATAGAAATTGTTTTTGAATACAACATATAAAACCACAATAAGATGGAAGTTATCGTTGCCAATGTTGATCATATTAAATTTGATATAGATTACGCGTTAGAAGAACAGTATGGAGCGCTACCTCTACCTTTCCCGGGAATGGACAGTAAGGTTTTTTGGCATCAAATATTTCAACTTTAATGTTATAACCCGTACTATTGAAACAATTTACTATTTTCAGAGTCAACCGCGGCAGTATGTGAATTCTTCAGTCAACCTGGAGGTTGTGGAAATGGTCCTCAGTGTCCTTACAGACACGTCCGAGGAGATCGTACGGTCGTTTGCAAACATTGGTTGAGAGGTCTCTGTAAGAAAGGCGATCAATGTGAATTCCTCCACGAATATGACATGTCCAAGATGCCCGAATGTTATTTCTATGCTAGATTTAATGCTTGTCATAATAAAGAATGCCCATTTCTTCATATTGACCCTGAGAGTAAAATCAAGGATTGCCCATGGTATGTTTTAAAAAATTATAACCATAAGTTCTGAGTTACAAAACTTTAAGGAAATGTGAAATAAACTTTAACATGTTTTTTAGGTATGACAGAGGGTTCTGTCGCCATGGACCACACTGCAGACATAGACATGTGCGACGTGTCTTATGCATGAACTATCTGGCTGGATTCTGTCCTGATGGCTCCGCCTGCAAATACATGCACCCAAGGTTTGAGCTCCCAGCTCCTCCTGAGCAAACAAAAGATGCTAAAAGACTGCCCGTGTGTCACTACTGCTCTGAAGTTGGCCATAAAGCTTCGTCTTGTAGTAAGATACCAGCAGAGGTTAGTAATTTAGTACTATTATATATTCCCTTCAAATAATTAACTCGTCGAGTACCGTATTTATAGACACAATTAAAGAACAATAGGTTGCGGTCACCGGTGACCGCTTGGTGTTTGATAGTTTAATGTATGTTCAATAGTTTTCTAAGTTAACCAATACATTCTGTTTTTAGCAAAGAGAAGCAGCTTTAAGACAAGAAGAAGCAAGATACCGTGCACTAGGCTACATTAAACCAGCCAATGAGAGTGAAGTGAATGAAATGAACAACCAAAGGATGCAGAGAATAGTTCACAAACCTCTGGAAGAAGTCACCTGCTTCAAATGTGGCACCAAGGGGCATTATGCTAACAAATGCCCTAAGGGCCACCTAGCATTCTTGTCCAGTCAAGCCAACCAAAACCAAAATGCAAACACATTTAAAAAACCAAACTAGTATAAATTTGTGAAGCCTTCGCGGAGGCTTCAGTGATGAACTATTGATATTTTAGAAATGTGGAAATGTGTACTGTACAGTGATACAAGTGATTCAAATTTTAGTGAAACCGTATGATGAAATTCATTTGAGTAATGTTTGACTTCATTAATGCTCATAGTTATATGTGAAATAATTAGAAATAACTGGTTCTATCATTGGTGTGTAATATAATCAGCCTCTTTTTAAAGTAGGTTTCTGCCCATCTCTACATTCTACACTGTGTACAACAACTGAGTGAACAGATACTGGTGGTAAATAGTTATAGATTCTATTCACATCTCTGCTGTATCTATTCATCCCTGTTTATTATTATCACCATCATCCCTGAGGTGAAATCAGGTGTAATGTAAGCTGTGAGGGTGTGTAATATTTTTATATACCTAGCAATAAAATTTAACATACAATGTACATATAAATGAAGTCTGGAAAAGTGCTTTAAGTTAAAAAAGTTTGTAAGATTTGACATTGTCTTCATAGTTTTTTTTTAAATAGCATGGTAAGTGTACATTTATCTCGATACATTTTTTACTGGTCAACCTATAAACAGTAATTCATGTAAGTGTATGGGTTGTAAAAAAGATAATACATAAGCACACTAATGTAATGTTCAAATAGGAGTAGAATTCAGTTGCATGAAAAACGTACTCTAAATATTATTGCAAATAGCATATTCCCTTAATATATTTTGTGCCCGTTCACTTCGGTTCCTAGCTCTGAGGTCTAACATGTCCTGACTGATTTATGATTTTGTGTGAATACAATAATACAATAATACAATGCAGTTTCCACTGAACATTTATAATATATAAGAAAATAAGAAAAACTCTGTATGAAGTATTTTTAGTGAACTAATTCACTCTACTGTTGGAACATTAAATCCTTTCTCAAGAACTTCCAGATTGGCCAGTTGCTAAAGTTATACCTAGTTATAATATTATCAGTACATATATGATTTATTTCTAATAAATTGTATTCCTATCAAATTGTTTCTATATACTATAATAAATCCCTAAAGCTAAAACTCTTAGCCTTAGACCTCAAAGAGCCATCAGACCACCACGGATAGGGCCCAATAGGGCTGATGCCGATTCGGAGTCGCGGAGAACCTAACGGGTTACCGGGGCTCCGGGTCGAAGTGCAGGAGAAGGAATGGGGTAGTTTTTAGTCGGTAAGAGTCTGACATTCCCTTCCGCCTCACCCAGGCGGGAAGTAATTCGATGATTTTTCGCCTTAAAAAAAAAAGCTAAAACTTAGCGGAACTGTGATCGAGTTAGAAAGTACATAGTATACAAATACGATTCTCTGTTTGAGCAGTTCATGTTACAAATATTTTTGCAATTTTCGATGATTTGCGATAAAGATATTTCGAAATAAAATATTTACACACAATGACATGTACGCAAATATGGGTACATGTCATTGTGGTGCATAATAAAAAATACAGAAACAGCCATTTATGATGCCGTTAACTGTAACACATTGCAAAAAAATGACGGCACGCCACTGCTGAGGTCTCAGGTCACACAATCTATTCTTCAGAATCTGAAGAATAGATTGTGTGACTCTGTCTGTCCATCTGAAGTTCAGATGGGGCCATAGAGTATAGTAATACATATGGATGGGGCTCACTTGAGTTAAATAAATGCCTGATCAGTAGTGACCCTGGCTCCGGCTAGAAGTTGAAAGCTCCGGCTGGAGTTGGGACAAGCAGATTTTTAGTCAGTCAAAAGCCTGACAGTCGATCTCGCCTAAGCAGAGCCATTCGATGATCTTCCCCTCTCAAAAACTATGTATTATTAGGATGTTTTAAAATTTATTTATAGGGATTGGTGTTGGATTGGTCTCTCAGTCTCAAAACAATATCGCTAAGTGCCGTCAAAATTACTATTAGCAATACCATTATTTACATATTGAGGTTCTAAACAAGGGTCTCAATATCAATTTGTACAAAATTTTGGTGTACTGTTGCCGGTTAAAAAGGAACAATCTCTTTTCTTGAAGGTTTGAAGGTCGTATCGGTTCGAAAATACCGCCGATGACAGATCATTCCACAGTTTTGCTGGACGAGGCAGAAAGTTACGTGAGAAGCGCGCAGTTGTGGCCTGCCAACAATCTATATGATGGGGATGCATATGCTGTCATAAGGGTCGATGGCGAAAAGATGCAGCAGGTATCAGGCCGAACAATCTTCAGAGCACTCCCCGTGGTATAAGCGATAGAAAATGCACAATAATGGTACATCTCTACGTACTGCCAAAGAAGCCGGTTTGAAACACCACGACATCCACGGCACGCCACTGAACGCGGTTCAGAGGAAGAAGCTAGTACTGGGGTGCCCCCGCCTGAAGATGAGATCAGTATTCCATGTGGTACCGAACCTGCGCCTTATATAGAAGCAGGCGGTGAGCCGGGGTGAAATACTGCGTCGATCTATTGAGCACACCTAGCTTCCTCGAAGCTAATTTGGCCTAGATGATCGCGGAACTGGACTTCACTCGAAATGCTGACACCAAGTATTTCAATACAGGCTGAGGCAGTAAGAGGGGTGCTTTGAAACTGAGGAGAGAGGACCAACGGCAGTTTCCTAGCGGTAAACACGCAGATCTGTATCTTAGTGGGGTTAAACTGGACCAAATTATGTCCACCCCAATCAGAGATTCTCCCTAAAGAGGTCTTGATTTCAGACACGAGTCTGTTTTGACTCTATATGACGATTTGTATATTAGCGCGGCCAGTGTAATAGGCATCGCTTGTGCTGTCATCCGCATAACAATGAATGCCGTTGATTTGCAGCATGTCATTGATATGAAGGAAGAACAATGTAGGTGATAGTACGCAGCCTTGAGGGACGCCTGCGTTTCTGTCTGCAAGGAAGTAGGAGACCCATTCGCATCGTCCATAGGAAGGAAGCTTCGAAAGAAGCGCTCTATGCCAAACTTGATCGAAGGCCATCGCCTAGTCCAAACCTATACTTATTATACTCTTTGGTCCAAACCTATACTTATTATATACTTTTGGTCCAAACTTACTGCCAACGCTCCCGTCTTAGACTCTTTTGTTTTTACATTATGACTTTATGACTTTAGAGCAAAGAGTATAAGTATAGGGGTTTAGAGCTAGTGCAAAGAGTATAATAAGTATAGGGGAATGAAAAGCTAATTACAATATTGAATAACCTATGTTTACCTTTGCAGCTTCTGATTATAAGGTGGAATATTATTTTATATTGTTATCATAATTTGCAGAAATGTTAAAAGACACATCATAACAAATATATTAAATTAAATTATGATAGTAGGTCCAATAATCTATTGTAATTATAGAAGTTGAAAATTTTTCTTGGCTTCATTTCGGAGTCCAGATATTAATACCATAGACTTTGAAAATGCAGAGAGAACTTTCGTGCTGGCAACACTAGGTGTTGCCATAGATTTTGTTTGACACATTTGTTGTGACATTTCATTTCACAAATTCAAAGCTTACTTACAGTTGTGCGCGTTGTATTTGTAGTTGTACCTATCTCAAAACTTGAATAGTCTTTACTATTACAAGTGTCTAGCTGAGGCTGAGAACATATCGGTCCCGCTATTTTCTTGTTTCCTTTGTTAAACAAGATCCTCAGTGAAGCGAGAAATCGCCGAGAGGTTGACTAAAATCAACACTCGGTACTTCCTATAATATCAACATGGTAAGCACGTGTTACAAAGCTACTGCATTTTTCATATACTTCCTTAAATTTTCCAAGATCTACATGTATATGAATATCTTGATCTGGCATGTAATAATTAATTCAACTTTTCACATACTTTGGTTTCACGCGGTGATGCAATTTTTAGGTTATGTCCATTTTGCCGCTAGTGTTTTCAAACGTTTTTCAGGTAAGTGCACGTGGTATTTTATCTCATTGTTTGATAATGTATATTAATTTCTATTCCAGGGCGACTCAGAAGCTGCAGTGAACCCCAAAGCGTATCCTCTTGCGGATACTGCTCTCACCGCCAAGATCTTGAACTTGGTTCAGCAGGCATCCAACTACAAGCAACTCCGCAAGGGTGCCAATGAAGCTACGAAGACGTTGAATCGTGGTTTATCAGAGTTCATCATAATGGCAGCTGATGCTGAGCCATTGGAAATCGTGCTTCACATTCCTATCCTCTGTGAGGATAAAAACGTACCTTATGTATTTGTTAGGTCTAAGCAAGCCTTGGGCAGAGCCTGCGGTGTCTCGCGGCCAATCATTGCGTGTTCAATCACTATCAATGAAGGCTCGCAGCTAAAGCCACAGATCCAAAGTATTCAACAAGAAATTGAAAGACTCTTAGTGTAAGTGATGTAAAAGTGTTTTATAAAATTATATTTTAATGTTGTGAGTGACATGCATACAAAATATATACAAAAATATTACTTCTGTATGTTTTATTGAAACCTTTTTAGGTTTAGTTTCATAATTTTGAGTAATCCTTATGAAACTATTGCAGAAGAAATTCAATCATTTATTTATCAATGTTACTTTAGCTTGTTTTTTGCATTGCATAACTGTGTAGTAGTGATAATTCGCAGTTCAGTAACAGACCTCTTGACTGCAAAGTCTCAGAAAATAAGAAGTTAAACAAAGTTTGTCAATACCAACTATGAAATAATTTAACAATATTGTTATGGTATAATTTATTAACAATATGATTTGGAATTATTTACAATAGCAATAGCATTATAATACAGTAATATATCATTGAAATAGTTTTTTAACTCTAAGGTTCCAGTTGTCTTCCCAACCAACTTCTCTGAAAGTGGTGATCTCCTTGCGCATTCTATCTGCTATTGCATTCTGCTGACTGTTATTTGGAAAACCTTGGAACCAATTTGTTAATTCTTTGTAGAGTTCTTCACTTGTTCTAAAGGTGTATCCGTTTACTCCATTTTCAACAAGTTCATCAAGGCTGTGGGCAAACAAATGGTATTCAGTATTAGTTACATACCAACATAAATACTGAATAACACCATTTTAAAAACCTCTAGTCCTACCTACAAGACCTATTGAGATAAGAAGACGTACAAATAAATATTTAGGGAAACTTAGATAGGTGTATTTATTATGAAAAGTATTGGTATAAATGGAATAATTTGTTATGGTCTCCTATTTGGGTAGTCCATTAACAAAATAATTAGGTCACCATATTGGGTTTTGTAGAAATATTTATGTACTGCCATTGACACACCCATACTACATTATTTAACAAATAATAATAAGTTAGCTCACCAGAGGAAATCAAAAGCACAAACAGGTAATCCAGCACCAAACATGTCAACTACTTTCATAGGGAGGTCTAGTCCGGATGAGCTGGTGTGCAAACAAACTCCGAGATCTGCACTGGCCACCATTTTGGGATAATCAGCAGCTTCCAGCCAAGGTGTGAACACCTGGATGTTCTTCCATTGCTTCTGCTCTATCTTCTTGAGATACCACTCTTTCTCAGGTCCCTTACCAGTAATCACACAGACCAATTTTGGTAATTTATCAGTAAGGTTACAAGAATTTTCATAAACTGTGAACAAAATAAAACCTTAATTTATTAATTGATATCTGACATAGTATATTTTTATGGTACTAACTACACAACGGAGGTGTAATAGCCATAGAACTGTGGAAGCATACATTAGTAAGGTCGGAGTATCTTACGTTGTAAAGCCTCCATAAGCAAACCAAAATCTTCATCAGCAGTCCAGCTGGTGCTGCTAAACAGAAGGCCTGGTCTATCAGACCTTAGTTCTACTTTGCCATTGACTTCTTTAGTAAACCGAGTTTTTGCATGAGGCACATTAACTTCACTTAATTCCTCATCCCCAAATGCAGGATAGGTCTTGCTGAGCTGAAGGAACCAGTCATGTTTTTCTTGTAGCGTAAGTGGCCTAAATATTTTTGGTGGTCTGTCATAAAGAACTATTGCATTGCTAAAAATAAAATCACATGATTATTAAGACACTTGCAATCACTCATAAAAATGTAAGTGGTTCTTGTATGCACACTTCCAATACACTTACTTTACATTCCAATTCATCATAAGGTCTTCCTTCATAGAATATGTGACACACATACTTTGATCTGCTGACTGGCCAAAGAATGTTTCAATAAACCTGGCTATTCTGACAATAATGTGGTCAGGCGACAGAGACATAGCCATTATTGAATATGCATAGTTGTGCCAGTCTATAATAAATTTAGCTTTACTAAATAAGCAATATATTCTACATACTGGCAATGTAGGTATTGCCGGTGGGTTCTGACACAGAACATAATGACATTTGCCGGTTACATATAACGTAAACAGTAAACTTATTGTCTGCCAAATAGTTTTGGCTACATATCTTATCAATCTAGGGCCAATACTGATAGGATGGAGTTGGGTAATGGTTATGTGAGGATGTTCTGTAATTTCCAACAGAGGTTCAGAATCCAAATAACCAATAATATTCACATCCAATCCATTGTTTGCAAGAGATAACGCGTGATATTGCATACGTGGACTTCTACCGATATCGCCCAAAACAACCACTTTAACAACTTTTCTTTCGTGTTCTGACGCCATAGTGTTAAAACACAAGTTTACACTCACGAGCCTTGAACTTAGTTCATAGTTTTTCTAGTTAATAAATTTGTTTATTGGCGATTTTGTTTAATACAATTTGTTTTCAAACTTTTGACTTTCGATTTCGGCAAACCGCGCTCTTGGCTGTAAATTAAATTGACATTATTGACTTGACAGTCACAATCAAGAAAAAATGTCATATGTCATACTCATGACAAAATTGATGGGAAAACCATAATTATTACTCGGTTGCCATTAAAGAAAAGAGAAGAAGTTATACAATTTTCGTTTAGTTTCAAAGTTTGGGTTAACAAAGAAAACACATTATGCATGAAATCTGGAAATATGGCAAGAGTCTTATTTTTGAACTATTTGATTCATAATTTTTATGGAGATCATTATCCTTACTATTTTCCCCCAAAAGTTTTGTCAAAGGTTCAAAATAATGAGTATAATGTCAAGGAACGCTGTAGGTAATTGAATGTCAAACAAAATCAGCTGTGCTGTGTGTTGTATGACAATTGACAAGTATTATTGTTATTTGCGATTCTGTAATGCTGGTGCTGGTACCTACAATAATTGCTTGTATTATTATAATTTGATGAAAAAGATATCCAGACATGTCTAAAGTGCTGATAATAAGACATTTACCAGCTGCACTATCGTTTGAAGATAAAGAACAACTCTTAAAACATTTTGGTGCGGAAAATGTTTGGGAAACAAGATCGAAACGTAATTATGTTTTTGCTTCGTTTAGTAGTGTTGATAAAGCTAAGGCATCACTCTCACGACTTCATCAGCTGGAGATAGCTAACCGCCGACTTGTGGTAGAATATTCCACTGAAAAGGAACCAATCACAAGTGATAAAACTCATTCTGAACAGAAATCTGAAACTACCAAGTTAATCAAACAGTTCCTGAAAGTTTTAAACGCATGGAATCCATCTATTGACTTCTACCAACCTCCACCTATTCACTTAAAATATAATTATCCGGACATTAATTCACAAATAGCTATGAATATAATTTACTCACTATTTCATCATAAACCTCTTTATATTCAAACATTACATTTAATGAACAAAATGTGTCTTGATGTTCCCTTTGAAGAAAATCAAATATGTATGGATTTTTTTAAAGAAACTTTCAGGCAATATTTTGTGACAGACATCCAACTGCCTCCACAGTTACCAAGTGAAACAGAGTCTGAGATATCCAGTGCAGAAGATGAGCATAAAGTAGAACCTATCAGAAAACTAGTGACAAGGAAAAGAAAACTTCCAGTTCCAAAACCAATACATCCCATGAAGCTCCAAGCAGTGCTGCCAGTCACAACTAAGACAAAGAAAACGATGGTTCATCAGGAAGAAGTATTTGAAACAGTAACTCCTATTCAAGAACCAAAGAAAATCTTGTTGAATGTTCATCAAGATGCTCTACAGAAACCCACCGAGGAACCTGAAGTTATTGGAGAACTTGGGAAGTTCCAAAAAGAAGATCCACCGGTTGAGGTTGAAGACAAACAGGAAGAACCAGACCAGCCAGTCATTACCAAAAAGGACTTGTTACGGAATAGGATATCACACAAGGATATGAAGATACTACCAGTTTTCAAAAATTACCATCCTGGAGAACCATCAATGAGACTGTACATTAAAAATTTAGCTAAGTCTGTGTCTGAAAAAGACTTAATGAGTATTTATAAGAGATATGTTGAAAAATTGACTGATAAAGAAATGACTGGCTTTGATGTACGAGTCATGCAAGAAGGTAGGATGAAAGGACAAGCATTTGTGACATTCCCTTCTGTGCGTATAGCAGAAACAGCACTGCATGAAACTAATGGCTACTTGCTAAAAGAAAAGCCAATGGTTGTACAATTTGCTAGAGCTGCCAATAAAAAGACAATAGAGTAATATTTTGTGTTTATTATTTTAGTTCTCCAGTAACAACATAGTACATTATTTACATTTAAAATATTCAACATCATATTTGCATTAATTCTATAGCATATGAAAGGACCCTTCATCATTGTCAATCCTTTTACCAGACAATAACTTGTGTATAACGGGCAGCACCTCACTGACTGTGTGCATCTGTTTAATGAGGTCTACAACAACATTCAGTGTATTTTGCAAGACTGATGTTACTTTTGCATCTTTTGTCATCAAGTACTGTTGATAAAATGCATCCATTAACAAAGTAAACCAATCAAATAATTTGCTTTCATAGTCTGTATCCATATTTTTGTCTGAATTTACCAATATATGAGCCATATAGGTCATTAGAAACAGAGTATCATCCAATCGAAGACCATTTCTCAGTGGTGGAATGATGAGAGCATCACTGAATGAGATTTGTAGTGTAAAGTTTAGCAACTCAAACTTAGCTTTATGAACTATCCGATCCTTGTTTGTACTGTGTTCCCCAGAACATAATTTTGCAAATTCTTCAGCATCAGTGACATCAATATTATTTGGGTTTACTAGATTTATAGCATACTTGAGTATTGCTACTAGAACTGTTTCTGGTACATCTTTGAACTGCTTTAGTGTTTGGTACACTGCTCTAAAATCATTTTTCTCCAGTAGTGGTGGTATGACATTATTACAAATACTTCTTTCTGTCAATCCTAACTTTATAAGTTCTTTTGTGTCATCATTGACTGGGAATTGAGGTTCAGTTGGAGAATCCCAGTTTGCAATCTCCATACATTCATTTTGAATAATTTCATGAGATCCTAAGAGGCTTGATAGGTTTCTCTTTATCTGTAGCACATATGGCAACATGCCAATATGGTTGGATGCTTCTAAAACAATGCGGCCATGGAAGCAATATAACTTGGCACCCTCTGAATACATTTTCATTGGATACCGACATGACCCAACTCCAAGAACTATATTATAAGCTATAATGATTGCTCCATCTTGTTCTGCACAACTTCCAAATACAATGAGATGGTCCTTGCCCATCCAGGCTATAGATACACTAGACAGGGTGGATACCCAAGGTACACTGCCTATTGTTTTCCAGTCCTTGAAGTCATACACTGTCATCTTGCCATCACTCCCTGCAAATTAAAACCATTCAAGTCATAATTACAAGTAAAAAAGGTATAATAATATTAATACTTATTTTAAACTGTCAAACACCGGGCGCAATGTATTGTTCTTAAATTGTGTCTTTAATGACGGTACTCAAAGGGTTAAACTTACATAAAATGTAAACAGCATTCTTCTCCTCAGTGCAAATAAATTTTCCGACAACATAAACATCATCAGGTCTCGCAATTTTGATTCTGGTTAACTTGGATCTGTCCATGTCACCCAACTCATCTCGTAGTGGGCAGTTCAGTATTTCATAAGCATCTTTATTGTTCTTTACAATATAACAAATGAAATCTGTTTTGTTGATAGTGTAAGAAGCTGTTTCAACTATTGAATCTGTGTCCTTCAGCAGTGACTTGCTCTCGTAAGTCTTTCTGTTGTCCAAAGCGTATGGTAGAGATGCACAGTTACCGTTACTAAACACAAGAAGTGGTGACTGCTTGCTTCTCGGAATTATCTTTAAGATATTTAAAGGAAACTGAAACATAAAATATTTTATGGATGTTTACAATCTACCAACAATATTATAAAACAAGTACTTTATTAGGATCTTTATTATTTACCTTAAACTTCTTAATTTTATCTAAGTTGTCAGAGTCTTCTTTCCAAATTTTAACAGTGTTGTTGTTAAAAACACCAACATAGCTCTCCTGCTCCTTGTCAAAGACCACTGTGGACGTAATGTGATCTTTTGAAGTCCATCCGCCAATTTGCTTTTGGTCTGAAAGCTGAATAAACCAAAACATTCCGATTATAACCTTAGAACAAGATACGATTATATGAAGATAATTATCATAAACGATAGTACGAACTTTTTATGAATAAACTTGATATCTGAATTATCTGAATGTAGTTTAGAGTAAATGCATTATGTACTTACTTGATATTTATTGACCACATTTCGTCCTAAAGTAACAATTACGTGTTCTTCTACTTTATCTTCTGCAACGCCAAGAAAACTTTTTTGGTCTATTAAAGGGCAAAGTACGTAGTAATTGTGTAACTTAGCCATTATTTAACACATTTAATTATTAGTTTAATTCATTAACCACACATACATATCCGCGTGTTTATAGTAGCGAAACAATACGATTATCTGTCAATCCGCTGATCCGCTCATGCATGTGCAAACTTAAATTTTGACAGTGACATTAATAATTTGTGTGACTGACTTGGCAGCTTTTTTAAATTTCAAGCTACATTTACAAAGCAAGCAACTAAAAGGTGAAATAAAACATTAATATTAATACTGTTTGTACGTAATGATTTTTGTTTTTTCAACGTTCTTGTTTTTATTAGACTTTTGATCATCATAATCTAATTTTAATCTAACTGCAGTTAGCGTTCGTGGGTCCATATATTTCGATTTTCGAATGTGAGTAATATTATGATAGGTAAATGATAATAAACTTAGTTTAATTTCAATAAAATTATTTCACATAAATAAATGTAAGTAATACCTATTGAAGAAGCATTTGATGCTTTGTAAATTAATGATCAGAGTTCAAGGTTATTACCTACTTACATCATTTGGAGCGTGTTCTTATCGTTCAAATAATATATTATTACATCATTGCTACGTACGACGTACGTATATTGAGTCGACTTGGCCAAGTTGTTGTTTCATTCGATTCATTTAGTCATTCTGTGGCAGACATCCAGTACACACGAACATGTCTACAGCCGGTAAAGTTATCAAGTGTCAAGCGGCCGTGGCATGGGAGGCCGGCAAGCCTCTATCCATTGAAGAGATAGAAGTAGATCCTCCTAAAGCTGGTGAAGTTCGCGTCAAGATCACCGCTACTGGAGTCTGCCATACTGACGCGTATACCCTCTCCGGCAAGGACCCCGAGGGCGTTTTCCCTGTAGTGCTGGGCCATGAAGGCGGAGGTATCGTCGAGAGTGTCGGTGAAGGTGTTACCTCCGTGAAGCCCGGAGATCACGTCGTGCCTCTGTACGTACCACAGTGCAACACCTGTAAGTTCTGCTTGAACCCTAAGACTAACCTATGTCAGAAGGTGCGCGTGACACAGGGCCAGGGTGTCATGCCCGACGGCACCCGCCGCTTCCGCTGCAAAGGACAAGAACTGTACCACTTCATGGGATGTTCCACATTCAGTGAATATACTGTTGTTCTAGAAATTTCTCTGTGCAAAGTCAATGAAGCAGCAGCTTTAGATAAAGTATGCTTGCTGGGCTGCGGAGTCCCCACTGGCTATGGAGCTGCCATGAACACAGCTAAGGTAGAACCTGGATCAAACTGTGCCATCTTTGGTCTGGGAGCCGTGGGTCTGGCTGTAGCATTAGGATGTAAGGCAGCGGGAGCCAAGCGTATCATTGGAGTGGACATCAACCCTGACAAGTTTGAAGTTGCTAAGAAGTTTGGAGTGAATGAATTTGTGAATCCCAAAGATTATGACAAACCCATCCAACAAGTACTGGTTGACTTAACTGATGGAGGTCTAGATTATACTTTTGAGTGCATTGGCAATGTGAACACCATGCGTGCTGCCTTGGAAGCATGTCACAAGGGCTGGGGAGTCTCTGTTATCATTGGTGTGGCCGCAGCCGGAGAAGAGATCAGCACCCGACCATTCCAGCTGGTTACTGGACGTACCTGGAAAGGAACAGCTTTCGGAGGTTACAAGAGCCGTGATAATGTACCAAAACTTGTTGATGAATACTTGGCAAACAAACTTCCTCTGGATGCATTTGTAACTCACAATGTGCCTCTTAAAGAAATCAATGAGGCATTCCACTTGATGCATGAAGGAAAATCCATCCGTGCTGTTGTACAATTGTAATTTAAAACATGAATACTGCATATTTTTGTAAGCATTTCTATTTCTAATGGTCATTGTTATACTGCATTTTATGAGTGATAAAATGATTACATGCGAGACATGTTATCTTTGTAATATTAAACTGTTACTATTCTAAATTTTATCTTTCATTTTCCTCCTAATTATGTCACTTGCACACAGTTACAATAATTTTGTTAAAGTCCTGAGTGATCACTTGATCAGGCACACATTTCCTTCTTGTTCTTTCAAGTCAAAAAACTAAATCTAGAAATAATAGCATTTTAGATAATAGTCTACCTACATACCTAGACTAGTTATGACTGCTACTGCTCTTACCAAGACCCAACAATTATAAATCATAGTGAACTATTTTGTATCTTCAACCAATATCTGTTTGGACATTGTGGACTTATAGCAATTAGACTATCATTCAATGGTTTATCTGAATTAATTTAATCTTGTGTCAAGTCAAGGGATATCTTTATGCTAAATGAATGGAAGCATGTGTTTATTATACATACAATATACATGTATTTGGAAGTAGTTGTAGTATGTGTGTGCCGTGGTTGTATTTAATACGTTAAAGCATATAATTAAGGATTATATAGTATCTTCTAATACATACTTTAGAATATAGATGATACCTAAACTTTTTATTTAGTATTCATTACCTACGCGATTTTTATTAAATTAAAATAATAATATCTACGCGATAGATAATATTATTCGTACTAAATGTGTTCTCAGACAACCCGCTATCACAGAATAACCGCTATTAACTATTGTATAGTCTAGGAATGGCTACTTCCGCTTTATTTGCGGCGTGCAGAAGCACAGCAGCGGCCTTAACCAATGTTAACTGACTCAATAGTCCGTTTAAATTAGTCACCAACTCCTAATTGAAAAAACTATCAATATGGTAACGTGCGCAAATAACTATTGATAAATAACTATTGATATTGATTGATATTGTTCAATCCATATACAACTAAAACTTGTAATGGGGCAACATACTAGATACTACATTTATATGATTTTCACTTAACTAACTGCCAACTAGTACATGGAAAGGTATGAAAATAAAATAATAAGAATAGGAAAATAATATTTGTCTATATTTCATAACAAAATATACATCACATTACTTAACTGTAACTAATCAACAGTATTACAAACATTCATATATTTACAATTTACACAATAATTTTCTAATAAGAGAACAATTTGGTAGTAACAAAGAATATTTTGTCAAAATTATTACATCTATAAATTATAATAATAAGATAACATGTAAGATAGTGTGTTTCTGATAGGTATATAATTGTCATATTCACGTGAGACACATTAAACATTATTACTATAAATAATTATTATGCAATTTAATAATATCTTATTACAATAATTAAATATTCGAAAAATAAATACATAACTTGCAATAAGAATAGATTTATCAAAAGCTTCTTAGGTAGGTATATATACATTTTGTAGTTTACATAAAAAAATAAATAGGGAGATGAAACAAAATAGATCAATAGGTATATTTTATTATCAATTTCATTAATTTATTGGTGATACATAATCAATGTACTGGACACGAAGTATCAAATATAGGAACATGCAGTAATAGACGTCCACAGTCCATTCCAAGAAAATCAACTTGTTGGTAAATAGATAAATAGCAATCGATAGAGTAATAATACGTAATTATTTAATAAGTATTGGATTTTGGCTGATGATTATGAGGTTTTGCGTGGACTAAACTCTCAAACAAGCTATTTGAAACCTGTATTCACGACAAAAGATTATTTATATTTAAATACATGGGACAGTTTGACTCTGCTTTCATTTTACATCCTGTCTGAGAACAGTGAGAACTATATAACGTATTTTTCATATCGTTAATTAATAGATGATTGTATGAATGCGTGTTGTAATAATACATGGATGGCTTGACATGCAATGACCACGCTATTGGGGCTCGGCAGTGATCTGCTTGTAATACTCCACGTAACTGTCGCATTGTTCACCTGAAACAATAGTCTTGTGATGAACTATACAGTAGTTAACAGAGCAATGACGGAACGGTACGTATGATGGGGTAGGTTGAGTGGCCACATTAAAAGAACACCCATTCATCGCCACTGGTTATTGAGACATCGCCGATTGCTTACCATCAGGTGATCTGTCCGCTCGGTTACCGGCTTATTCTATGAATATATTAAATTAATGAAATTAGTGTTATAAGTATCATGGTGTAGAGAGGGAGTCTATTATCATACACCAAGCACTCTGCTATAATTGAGAATTTTGAAGATCAAAAATGCTATCAACAAAATTATTGGGAACAAGTGTCGGTTCTTGCTTAATACCCATGCTTGCAAGTTGCACCTCATCATCATCATCATATCAGCCACAGGACGTCCACTGCTGAACATAGGCCTCCCCCAATGACTTCCAGATAGGCCGGTTGGAAGCGACCTGCATCCAGTGGCTCCCTGCGACCTCAATGAGGTCGTCTGTCCACCTTGCGGGTGAACGTCCTACGCTGCGCTTGCCGGTACGTGGCCTCCACTCGAGAACCTGTCTGCCCCAGCGGCCGTCGGTTCTCCGTGCTATGTGCCCTGCCCACTGCCACTTTAACTTGCTAATCCACTGGGCTATGTCGGCTAGTTGCACCTACTCAAGAAAATATTTTTCAAAAGGATGCGAGATGATGCTGCTGCGATAGGTACTCATATCATTTGTTCTTCCAACGATATTGAAGAAAAATTCTATGTGGTTTCAATTGTTTCTATGATAATAATACATAATAATAATTAATAGCTAATCTGTTATCAGACAAATTCTCTCTAACATAGTTTAGATAACATCAAAAATATAATTAAATTATTTAGCATATTGAATGCTAGAATATGAATCTATTTCGTTTATAGAGAATGAACCAATATTACGGTAAAGACTACTTATTACTTCAATATGAAAGTAGGTATCCTGTATCAAAGAGTTATCTGGAACATGAAGCAAAGTTTATCAGAAGTAGCAGCACCATGACATCAACATAATATTAACTTTAAATGGTGTTGATAAGCTATCAGCTGAAAAATAAGTCACACCATGATAATTACGCGTTTTTTATAAAACTGTACCAGACTGGTTCATTCCGATACACTCACACACTATTTAGTATTAATTGGGGTCAAGTGTTAAATGTAATTTAGCGATATATACCTATTATTATTACTAAATGTGTAAAGTAACTTTAAAAAAATAGTGATACGTGTGGACTTTAGCAAAATACTACAATTACTTCAGAAGAAAATTATGGCTGAAAGATTTTTTGCATAAGTTTAGAGCTAAATAATTATTTAGTGTAAGTTTGTCAGTTATAAACTTTTGCCATATTTTCATAGAGTCTGTAATAGTATAGTGTGGGCGAAAAGATTTCTTTAATATTATCCTTTCTCGTAAGATTAATGTACGTTCCTTAAATTGATTTCGAAAGAGTAATATCACGATCAGTGACCGAGAAACAGACAGCAATTAGACCTAGTTTCCAATAAGGGGTTTGCTCAGTTTTGGACGTTTTCCAGCTGCAAAGGGCAGTAGTGTAGTAGGTATACCTTTGAGGAAGTGCGGAGAGCCCCGAGTGCGTTCGTTCCGTTGCAGCAGCGCGTGGTAGACGGCGGTGAAGGCGGTGGGGCGGCCGTGGGCCTGCGCGTGCGCCCGCGCCGCCGCCAGCAGCTTGCGCGGCGCCAGCCCGCCCAGCCCCGCCTGCCGCGCCGCGCCCAGCCCCGCCACCGGCTCGTCCCAGCTCAGCAGCACCTCCACCACCTCCTGCGCACGGACATACATACAGAGATGTCAATTATTTAAGATACAAGTATCTGAAATAAATATACAAAATACGTATTTCGTATTTGACTTTTTTAAAATTACATTTTACAATTTGTATTTAAATACATTAGTTCTGTATCTTAGTATTTGACAAATACTTTTTCGACCATAATTTCTTTGGTACTGCTACCATACAGTAGTTAAGTACGCGCGTCTTGCGGCACCCCTGTGATCTGACGAGCTTGCGATGACGGCACTTGCTGGGTTTACATATAGTTGGTAGAGTCGTACCTCGTATCCCTTGAGCCGCCACAGCATGTCGAGCGCGAGCTGCGCGGCGGCGGGGTCGAGATGGCCCAGCGACAGCAGCGCGCAGGCCAGCGGGCGCGCGTCGGACAGCGCGGCGCGGCGCAGCAGGGCGCGCAGGCGCGGCGCCGCGGCCCGCGTCACCAGCGCGCGCACGGCCAGCTCGGCCGCCGCCGCCTGCACCACGAGGCCGGCGCGCGCCAGCGAGGCCACGTAGCACGTCACCACCTGCACCAGCCAGGCCGCCTCGCTGTGCTGCTGCAGCACGTGCGCGCACAGCTCGGCCTGCGAGATCAGCACGCGCGCGCGCCCGGCCCCGCCGCCCTCCGCCTGGGGCGCCTGCCCCGCCGTGTTGCGGGCCATCTCCAGGTCCGCCCACTTCCTGACACACAAACAACATCCATTACATCAAATAAGCAAACTAATACTGCGACCGTTCATAAGTAAATATAAAATGCTAAAATGTTTCTTAACCTTCATGTTTTAATGACAATAATTTGATACATCAACAATACTTATTATAGCAAAACTTCAACACTGCATTCTGAATAACTTCACCAACCTGTATACAGTATGTATCTCGTCGAAGACATCAGACAGCTGCACGAGGTAGGTGCCTGCCTCGGCCACGAGCTGGTTCAGCACCCTGTAGATAGTGTCCTTGCCATCCGTGCGCCGGAGCAATACTGCCACGATTTTTGATATCTCGTCTTTTGGTACCTGTACAATTTAATTTAAATAAGGTAAAGAATGCAAAATTAATAAAATTATAGACGAAAAATATTGCGATACGAATTCTCTACTTTTTTTATCACAATGTCGAGTACAATAGGTTCAGCGACCTAAAGTGGATCTTGGCCGCTTCTGTTTTGTTTTGGTAGTTTCTCGCCAGTTACCTCTACCGGTTTTATCCTTCAAATCCGCCTCCACCAAATGATGTTCATAAAATCATTATAAAAAAGGTATTTTTTTCAAGTGGGGATAAACATCGAATGACTTTTCCCGCCTGGGTGAGGCGGGAGGGAGTGTCAGACTCTTACTGACTAAAAACCACCCCGTTCCTTCTCCTGCACGTCGAGCCGGAGCCCCGGTAACCCGTTAGGTTCTCCGTACAATCTTCAAGCAGGTTGACGTTTTAAGCGTGGAGATTATGGCAAACCCCTCCTTTGAAAAGCAGACTCTTGGTCTAGCAGTGGACTCTAACAGGCTGTTACTGGCTGTTGTTGGTAAAATAATGAATGACGGGTATGTTACCGAGTGCGCAAGTCCAGCGGGTATGAGATGTACGCGCCAGAGACAGCCGAGCCTGGCGTCGATGATGTAGTGCGGCTGGAACACGACCCAGGTGTCGCTGTACATGGCGCAGCGCGCGCCGCCCGCCGGCCGCAGCCCCGCGCCGCCCACCACGGGGATGTGGATCACGCTGCCGCCCTCCGGCCTCGACTGCTCCATTATATCGAACACTTGGGATGTTTGACTGGCCTGGAACATAATACACATTGCTTTAATATATGTTTACACTAATATTATAAAGCTGAGGAGTTTGTTTATTTGTTTGATCGTCGACATCGGACACACCCAGTATGCGCATTAGGTAAAGGATCAGATAATGTCAGGTAAAATCAATAAAACTGTAAAAAAACATTTTTAAAAGAGTAACGATGGCGTTTCTTGCTCGTTCTTCTCCATTCGAAACTACACTTTGGAACGAGCACCTGGCTTCACTGACAGACAGGCGGACGGACAGATAATTTTTTGACGTTTTAAGTGCCTGATTAAGGATTAATTGAAATAAATGCATTGACTTTGAATGTGCTAATCTTTAGAAATACTGGTTCGAAATAGAAATTTATGGTTTTGCTATCAATCACCATGCTGCGATCAATAAGAGCAGTAGGTGAAACCGCGCAGCTAGTACAACAATATTTAGCACCGCTGTACCTGATGATGGACCACGACGAGATCGTCTACGACATTGACGGCGAACCTGCCGACTAGGCCTGTCTTCAGCACGTGCGTGTAGTGGAAACCGGACGGACCCGTGATCGGCATCAACCATACCTGGAGGCAAATACATACACATTATTGGTCTGAAAGTTCTGCTCATGGCCAGTGTAAAATCGTCCTAATAATTTCGAATCTAGATAGATACAAAAAAGCTAAAGGAAGGCCTTAGTTTCATGAAATACAGCGATACAGCTAACAATTCAACCAGTACATAATTAGCAGCTTGCTCTAAGTTATTTTAATGATAATTGTGATGTTGTGGCACATATCATAAGCTAGGTAAGTACTAGTAAAGAGTTACCTCGGTGGGTCCGGGCGCGGCGACGGTGGCAGACTGAGCGTGCCGGAAGATGGCGCACCAGGTGGCGTCGCACAACCTCAACGTGAACACGTCGCGCTCTACCACCGGCCGCGTCGCCTCCACTGTAACATTCAGAATTCGGTACTTACATTAGAAAAGTTTATAATTTTCCTGCTGATGGTGCTGATGGAATCTTATATTCGCTTTCTCTTTCAACCCAAGGGTGTGGATTAGAATGGGTTCCCAAACATAAAAAAAGGATGTGGTGCGATGCTAAAATTATACTCTGATCCTAAATCTTTCTGAAATCTAGTCAGAAGGTCACTAGGCCCCTAGCTATAAATAAAGATTACATTTTTTTATCTCTTACATTCCAATTTTTGCAGTTTACTGATGGTGGAGTTGTTGAGTGAGAATGGTTGCAGGAGCACCCCATTGTTACCCGCTAGCAACACTATGTTACTCTGTGAGCACCATGAGAACCACGCACAGCTGGAAACAGCAAACAATCAATATTTTAATAATTTTGTAAGGCAGTATCTTTGAATAATTACTTATAAGCAACTAATGAATGTTTTGTAACTAATAATTCACTGATATCTATGTCAAATAAAGCATTACAATAATATTTATCAGGTCAAATATCACATTCCATAAAATGGGACCTTGCTACCATCACCCTCAAACAACAGTGACTATTGCAGTTATTACCTAAATGAAGTATTTTTCAAGCTCTTCAACTGTTTCTTATCAGGTATAACTTGCAGAAGCTCAATCCCATGGTCAGTAATAAATGTTATTTCATTCACTTTAGGCCACACAAAGCCTAAAATCTTTGCATTCTTCCATTTACAAGTATGAGAGTACTCCACATTGGTTGGAGCCAAGTCTTTAAAGTTTACAAACTCCACTGTGGCATTCTGATTGTCTTGGTTCCTCTGTATTGCCAATATTTTAAGATCTGGAGAAAATTTTATTGATATTATTGGTCCTCGATCCTCCATTCGGAATGAAGTTGATTTCGATTCGTCCATGCCAGTCACCGTCACGCCCGTCACGCCCCCAGATCTAACAGTAAATACCTTAAAAAAACAATAGACATATAATCATTCAGACATCTTAAAACATTGCCTATACCTCATTATGATGAGAATACCTTACAAGATTTTGTATGTATGGTTATGGTACCATAACAAACAACCTATTTATTAACAAAACTACGTAAAAATAATATGAAGGACATAAGAAAATTTGTAACAAACCTGCCCATTGCTGTCGTCGAAAAACACATTTGTAACAGGACTATCAGCATCAAAACGCTTGGGCTGCTCAGAGAGTGCTAGGTAATATTCTTCGCTATCCTTTAATCGAAATCGTGCCATTTTTTATCATAATAAACTTTCGTTTTACAAAATTACCACCGTAACACAAACTCTTTGTTGTGACAATTTCAATGTCAATATTCTCAATTTGTCATTTTTTGACGTTTGACGCATTGATTGAAGTTTCAAAGTCAAATGGTAATCGAACTCTACTTTTCATACTACCTTAATATTGAATACAAGCTTTTATGTCCACAGCACTAGAACGTTAACAAAAATAATTTTAGCTGGTGTTGACGCTGAACCCGATGTGCCGTGTCTGACCGACGCGATGAACGTCTGGACAGAAACATGTCCCAATACAGCCTTGCCTGTCAACCCTTCCTCCCAGAGACAATGGGACGAGCCGCTTTGCAGGTTGGTGCATAATAATCTAATTAATACCAGCACCAATCCTGCGGAGTTAGCTCGCCTATTGGCTGTGGGTGAGTGGGAATCAGGCCTCTGGCTTCAGGCACTTCCATCACTCAATATTGGCACGATGTTGAATGACTCAACTTTTCGGCTTGCTGCTTGCTTGCGTGTAGGTGCACCCTGTGTTTCTCCGCATCGCTTTCAATGCGGTGAGATGGTCGACCACCTCGGCCACCACGGCCTATCGTGTAGCAGAAGCGCGGGCCGGATAGCTCGACACGCCAGCATTAACAACATTATCCGTCGAGCTCTTATCATCGCCGGTGTGCCAGCTGTTCTGGAACCAAAGGGTTTGGCACGCGACGATGGTAAGAGACCCGACGGTATGTCCATTATGCCCTGGAAGCTGGGAAGGTCTTTGGTGTGGGACGCAACCTGCGTTGACACCCTTGCACCTTCTCATCTTCCAGTACGTAACGGCGGGTTGAGCTGGTTCGGCTGCTGCCTCTGCAGAAAGCCTCAAGCGGCGCAAGTATAACAACGTTGCTGGTAGTTATATCTTTGAGCCGTTTGGGGTTGAGACGCTAGGTCCGTGGGGTCCGAGTGCACTTAAATTATTCCAAAACATTTCAAAACGCCTGGTTGACACATCTCGTGACCAGAGGGCTGGTCTTTTTCTCGGTCAGAGGTTAAGCATTGCCATACAACGTGGCAATGCTGCCAGCCTTCTGGGTACTTTCCCCACTGACGTCGATGCGGACGAATTTTTCGACGCTTTATGTAAATAGTTGTTTTTGTTTTTTCTTATAATTAATTTTAATCTTTAGTTGTATATAGGTATTTAATTTAGTAATATTTAGTTTTAATTTTTTTTTAAGTAGGTAATAGTTAGTTTTTAATTTAAGTTTTTTATTTGAATAAATGAATTTGAGCTTTTATAGGAACATACATACACAACATAATATGTTTACTGAGAACCTCAAACGGCGAAAGTAAAATTGTATAATTGTAGTTTGTGTTGGATCTTTAGGGTCGTGGGGTCCAAGTGCACATCTTCTTTACAAATATTGTAAAGATGGTGATGGTTGGTTGGTGATGGCTATACTTATTATACTCTTTGGATGGTTGACACTTCGTGTTCGAAAGTCTGGCTACTATTTTGGTCAAAGTGGTCAAAGGGCTACCAGTTTTTAGGACACGTTACCACATGACAATGATGAGGATATTTTTTTTTTAATGCGTTAGTTTTTTCTCTATACTATGAGAAAATATTTATGAGATAATTTGAAACATTTTATTTTAAAAACTACCATAGCTAAACTAGTCGATTGAAGAAAACGAGTGACAAACAAAAAAAAAGCAAAAAAGTACATAGCCAAACCGTTGTCATAGCAACGAATGGCGCCAACAATAAACTTCTGTGATTTTGCAGTGAAATTAAAACTACTCCGTTATGAATGAAAACACAGAATTACACACATATACGGCAGATGACTCGCTTGAAAATGATATCCAGGAATATCATGAGATAAAACAAGATACAACACTTGATGACATAGAAACTTCTTTTTCATCAAAACCATCTCCAAAACGGTTGAACGATTATGATTTTTTCACCCAGCACGATGTAAAAACTGAAAAGAAGAAGCATCTGAAGAAGAAAAAATCGAAGAAGAAAGATAAGTCTTCTAATCTAATGGATATTATAAGTTCTGAAATAGCAGCTTCAGTGGCACCTGTAACTGAAAATGTTGTCACCATGGTGGATGTTAGTAAAGAACGACAAAGTAGTTATTTGCGAAGTTTATCTAATACGACATTTCGAAAATCTAGAACCTTCATCTCTGATGCTGAAAGTGGGTAAGTTTGTCTGGTAGGTACCTACCTACCAAGCATTTATTTATTGTATTAACTACATCACAATCACGCATTTTTATTTCCTGAAATAGTATTCAGATATTAATGTAGGTATAGAGGGAGAAGAGCAGCACATGAGTTCTTCCAAAATTCAAGAATGCTTACTTTTAGGGAAAGAGGCAAGTAGGAATCGTAGCAATTGGCGTTTCAGTCTCTGCCTACCCCATGTGAGACAGTTGTTAAATTATGTATGTATGAATTTACATTTAGTACTTTACCGATCCGAGAATCAAACCCAAGAACCGTTGGTTATAGTAGTCGCGTAACATACCTACATGCTACTATGTTAATATTATTTTTGTTATCATTTTAGATGGAATTCCAAATCAGATCTGGCAAACTTGAGTCCTATATTTCCGAGGATTCTGGAAAATGCAGTGACTGAAGCTTGTCTGGTAGAAGCCGAATATGTAGAACCGTGCACATTTAACGATATTGTAGCCAAAAACAACGATACCAATAATGAGACCTCCATTAAATTCTTAGACATATCGATAAGAAATATTACAGCTAAACACCACCATTCATTTACATTAGAAAAATTACTTTGTTCGAAACTTTTAGACACATATAATGAATACAGTAAAGTTCAAAAACTTTTGAAAGTCCTTTCAAAGGACATTAAAGTGAATAGGGAAACAAAGGATAATCTTAAAGCAGATTTGATGAAAGTCAGCCCTAGTAAAAAAGAGGATGTTCGATTCGATAAAACTGTTAGAAAGTATACCGACAAACTCATACACCTTAAAGCAATATTTAAAGAAAATATAAAATTAAAGAAGCAATTTATGCACAAGGTTATATCGTTATGGTCTGATATTGAAATGGTAAGGGAGAAACGCGAGTGTATCGAGACACCGTACTTATTAGACTTCACGAAAATAGAATACAATGAAAATGAATTCGAGAAACAATGGAATGATACATTTAACACAGAATATTTAGATATACTTGATTTAATTGAGTACGAATATGTTACTAATTATTTAGAATATAAAGAAGCGAAAAGTGAACACAAAAGAAATCCTGATAATAAACCGATAAAGCCTAAGTTAATTATTGATAAAGAAAAAATTAAAAGTGAGGCAGAAATGTTTGTTGATGAGGTAGTCAATAAAGAAGAGATAGATATTGAATTGAAAAAAGACGAAAGCATACTAACAGATTTTAAACAAATAGGACAACGCTTCGTAAAACATAACTATAATTTCCTGGTTTACGTAGATGATGTTTTTGTATGCGAATCTGAAAATTATTTAAGTGCGATATGTTTAGCGTAGAGTTAAATGAGAGTTTCTCGGTACAAATTTTGCCAAAAAATGTAAGTGTAAGAATAGTTTTAATAGAGAACGATAAGAAAGTTGCAGATTTGAAAATAAACTTACAGGATATAAGAAAAACAAATGCTCATGCAGATTTTGTAACTGAAAATTTATATTTTCAAGATATTGTTGAACCAAACATTAAATATGTAGGAAGTGGCGTAACTATTAAAGAGATAGCTCACGCTAACAAAGTTAGACTTAAGAGTAGCAATCTATTCAAAGGAAAGCTTTATACAAATTACGAAATTGATATAAAGTCGGGTGGAATGATAAGTTAGAACAAAATCAATCTGATGCAATAAAATCTTCTACAGAAATTGGTAGGCAAATAAAAAGACTAATAAATGGTATTGATAAGCCAAGTTTTGAGGTGTTATTAGATGTTATAAATAAAGTATACGAAAAGGATGTAAGTGATGAAAACATGGTCGAGATGTTGCAAAAACTAAGCAAAATGGAAATTATAAATGACGATAGCTTCCCCTTGGATCAAAATAATCCAGACGTTTTGAGGTTGAAACTACTTCATCTGAGAAATATCGGAGGATTTACAGGTATAGAGAAGAAATTAGTTCCTATCCATGCAAGCCAAATAACCACAGAGCAATTAAACTGTCTACAAAAGACAAACGACAACGATTTTGATTTGGACTATTTGAACGATAAAGAAATGGAGATGGATCCTATAGAGTTGCAGAGATTTATTGGAGCAAAGTATGTTCAGAAGCTAAATAAGAATATGTTGAGAAACTTAAATGAATACCTTCTACAGAAGACACACAAGGACGTTGTTCGGGAGCACAAGTTCAGTTTCAGGTTTGTTAATATTGTTAGTATTTTTATCTAAAGAAGCAAAATGTGAATTTAACGTCCAATTCATTTTCTAGAAGTCTTTTTTCCTATCAATCGGACGTTGGAGCACTGGCGACAGCATCAAACTCTACGAAGCAGCAGATCCTGAAAGAGTCACTGAGCAAAGATCAGGAGATCCATGTGACTGTGTTGAGGGCATTCAATTTACTCGACCGGACTTGCACTATGCTTGACGAGGCATCTGAGGACGAAGATAAGATTGCAGGCGAGTTATTTGACTTGTTCATTGTTCATGATTTCTCTTTAACACGTCTAAATTTATCAATATTGTTTCAGGTTTTAAGATGAGACCACTAAGGCCGTTCGTTCGAGTGAACTATAGAGGAGCATCAGCTCAGACTGTCACAGCTATCGGCTGCCACCCGTCCTGGAGTCATACCCTCAAGATTAACACTAAGTTGGTACCTATGTATTTAGATTGATCATTATTTTACTCTGCATGTTTGAATTTAATTATTGAACCTGTCTTCTTACAGACTAGACCCACTCTCCTCCCTCCACGTAAACATTTACGACGAGTACAAAGCGAACATAGTAGAAGGGTTTCCAGAGGAGGACCACTCCAACAAGACCGTCCACTACCGGTACTACAACAAGTGGCTTGGCACTCTCGAGATACCGATGTATGCCGTCTTGACTTTGGGCACTGTAAGTACTTCATATAGTTTTCGTAAGCTTCATTATTATCACTAACCCTAGGATGGATACATCCACGACTGGTCATACATAGGCCTCCCCAATAGGATGTCGCGTCAATCTTTAGGTAGTTATAAGTATCTTTACGTATCAAACCGTCTTAGAAGGTACTAATTATGTAGTTTGCTTAAACGAATTTCTAAACGTTTCCAGACTAAGTTTATTTATTGTATACTAGTATAATAGATCTAAATATAGTACAGGAGAATAAGAGACAGCAACATCCTCATTTTAGTAGAGAGGTGTGTCCATTGAAAGTATGAATGTCGCCAGGAAGCGGCGTGATTCATACACAATGAGAGTAACGTCCTGCCAACGAAGATTGGCGATGACGCCAGAGGACGATGGGCGTGTCGCACTGACGCGACGTGTAGTAGGTACCACCTACACTATTGTCGGAATAGGCAACAGTTGGCATGAATTCCTCTAGGGATTACAACGACAAAGACTAATATTTACGACTTACGCTCCACGAAGATTTTATTGATTAGTTTGCCAAATATTTTATTTTACGATGTGTGCTTATACTAAACCCACCTGTATTTAGTAGGTACCCATACAATTTGCACACATGATCTAAGTGATATTAACGTAGATTACTATCACGCTTCCAGCTTCGGGGCACATTCAAGATCACGAGCCCGCCACTCTTGTTTGGTTACGAAACCCTCCAAACGAAGGAGTCAACATCGCTAATCCCAGAAATAACACAGCTCTTGAAGAAAGACACCGCATACATTACGTTAGAAATAACAAGTAGCCTCTCACATTTGGGAGGATTGCACGCTTACAACCAGCCGCTGCCAAGCTCAATAGAAGACGATTATTTGATCAAACATTTGAACAATTTTGTAACAGAATACACAAACGAATTTCCGATGCGGAATATTTCTTTGACTTTTATAGATAGCATGGGTAGGAATAAATGCGTCACCCAGTTTCTGCAGCCGATACCTTTACCCGAGAGGGACTTCATCCCGAAGAATCCAAGAGGAGACTCTGCTATCTCGAAGTCTTCTGGATTTTCAAAAGTTCGTCCTCAAGTGGAAGACGGAAAGAGTTGGATTTAGATAGAGTAAGTCAAGAGAGAGGGAGTCAGTGTACAGCGCTCGTGAGGGTGACAGTCTCGCGAGGATGATGAACGCGTGCATGCGATACGTGTCACTGATACCCAGCTACGAGGTCACGGAGTCTCATGCCGTTACGCTGCTGGGGCTTGTTAGTAACCTTCATCTTCATACATGTTGATTGTACTTAGAATAGAAACAGTAGCTACAATATTATTCACTCCGCAGGAACTGCTAAAAGTACTTCACGGCTCGCCATTGGACCACACCATCCTTTTAGCCAGCTACTTCATATACTTGGGCATCAAGTGCTGGGTGGCCATTGGCCTAGGCCTACCTCGAGGTCACAGTCGCTTCGTTCTCATCAAGTATGACTTGACTACAAGGAGGATAGTCCTGGAAAACGACCAGCTGTTCAGGAGTAGAGGTTTTCTGAATAAGTCTGATGGGTATACGTGGTATGTATGTGATGCCAGTAGCGGGGAGCGGTACGAGCTGAGAGATGTCGGCTGTCCTCTGAAGACTGTTGATTATGTGTTTGATAATGAAAATGTAAGTGACAATTTAAATATTGGGATGGGTACATGAACAACCTGAGGATATCAAAGATTATATCATACTGATTTTCAGATATGGGTGAATGTACAATCGTCCCAAGATTGTGAGAATATGTCGTTTGATTTCACCAAATCGTCTGACTGGCAAGCTGTAAGTATCCATCCATGTAACAAAATCATCACGCAAGAATGCAGATTTCTATTTTCCACATTCCATCTCTCTCTCCTCAGGTTTTCGACAAAAATGTGTTCGTGATGAAGCAGCCGGTAGTGACAGACAGTGCGCTGTACTCTACCCCACCTAATGTGGAGGGGTTAAGGAGTGCGCTGGAGACGAAGATCAAGAGTAAAGTCCAAAAGTGGAGGTCTCATATGAAGACTATTTGGAACAGGTCAGCTAAAAGAGCTATAGGCTGCCAAATGGATATCGAAGAAGATACATACCCTTGACGACCATTTCGAGTAAAATTATTTAACTAACTTTTGAGCAGTTAGTTTCAGACTCTCATATATTTTCAAAACTTCGGTACAATTAGTCCAGTTGTTGGAGAAGATTAAAAGATACGTCCATAACATATGACATTAGATTGATGATAGTTAAGAAAGTTGCTTTAGATATGGCTATTTTTAACATAATATTTAATTAAGTTATTGTGTTTATACTTTGAAAACATGATTAATGATAACGGTCTTGTTCTACCGTCATTTAATTTATGTCATACACAAAATTAAGTTTCCTACTTATAATTTAAAAGTGTTTTCTTTTTCTCAAGTGTTGCTAAAGGACATTTCATTTTCAAATAGTTTCTCGCATTCTTAGGTACTGCAGCACGTTGTTACGTGACATGCTACTTCAGTGGGAGTACTGGGTGTTCAACCCCACAGGACCCAAGCCCAGTTTCAGCCAGAAGCTCAAACATTTAATGGTTACATTTAAGGTAACTTCTTAAAATCTTGTTAACCATTTGGATTCTCTTGTAAGTATACTGATGTTTGTAATTCGTTGGTTCCAGATATTCGGGTTTCCTCTAAACTTGGCGTATGTTAACACAAAGTCTGTAATATCTGCCATCAAGAGCACAGGGTTGCACCTGAGTGATGACCCTAACGTGGAGTTCGCGCTCGGCGTGGAGGTGTGCGCCTACCCTAACAATGTGATCAGTGTCTGGGTGTTCCTAGCTAGCATCACCAGAATGTAACTACATGTCCATGGACTCATCTTTTATAAGAGTAATATATGCATTGGAATTCAGTTTGTGTCAATTTGATGACGTGTGTTGGCTTCTAACTATTCGAATAGGATTACAAAATACGTCAATCAGTTTTTGTCGAACGTTTAAAATCAGAGCGTGTTGCTTCGCAAGGTAAATATTTGGGTAACCATCGTGCACCAAACAAAAACTTTACAGAAGAGCAATATAAAATTTATTTTAAAACTCATTTCATTCAGGACTATAAAAACCAGATTATTTTAAATTTTAAATAAAAATAGAGCTTGTATGTCTTTTCGTTTTAATGCTAACAAAATAAAATTAACATTTATTCCATTGTAGTATAAAAATATACGTAAAAATAGAAAAAAGGAGATGTTATACGTGTTGTGGCGTCGCCGTCGTAATGAAGCCCAACGCGACGGGGCGCCGCGCGGCGACGCGGCTCGATTCAGTTCCGGGCTGACTTAACCTAGGCGGGGCGGCGCTTAGCTGCCGGGGTCGTCGGGTTTGTTCTGTTTGGAGCGCCGCAGTTGCTGGATGTAGTGGCGCTGGATGGGCTTGTGCAGCGCCAGCTGTGCCAGCGCGTCGTCTATCGAGAACCACTGCCGCTTGCGGCCCATCAGCCGCGAGTCCTCCCACTCCGCCAGCTCCTGCGTTACCGTCATCACGTACACCTCCGTCCGGTGCTTGTGCTCTCGGTTCTGGAAACAAATTATTCAGACGTACATTACTTATCTTGTCGAATATTATACGTTAGATCACGTTAGCAATTTAGGAAACCTAGTGGTCAACCATTATGTACTCGGTTCAAAGAGTTCATGTAAAGATAACCGAGTGGTCAGTTTTAGTGGACAAACAGGCACGACCACGGAACATGATACCCGCAGTATATTTGACATGGGCGCGAGGCGCGAGCTAATGTAACTTTACACAGGTCGCTTTGCACAGCGATTGTTGAGGATCAAATGGCGTCACCACTGTTATTATTTTTTTACCGCAGTAATGGAACCTGTTTGTAAGCTAACACCACAAAAACAGTAGCATTGTACAGAAGTAGCTACTATTGAGAAACCTAGTTTGTAAACAATAGATCGAAGCCATGACGTAAATATACCAATCAAGCAATCTTAATTAATTTTACGACAAAGTAATTGCTTATGTAATTAGCGACGTTAGTTAACGTGTGATAACTGAGTCAGGAGTTCACTTGAGTGACATCTGAAGATTTAATAATCGGTTTAATAATTTAATCCAAACTGAATCCAGGGCAACGCGTAGGTTATTGGTTAAAGTATTGTATAGCCAAGCACACCACCTGTAGATACGAATTTTTCTATTGATGGCCAACACAGTGGATCAATTTACTAAATAACCAAGGCTGTTACGAACAATATAATTATTCGAGGATAAAAACAATGATAGAAGCAGTTCAAAAATAATTGAAAGTAGATAAATATAGATTCTAGTTAAAGGTGAATTAACGGTCGAGCTCTAGGTAGGTACCGTATGAATAACAAGTCTTATCTCGAGGAAATTTACAGAACATTAGTTGCGGATAAATTTCGTGAAGCTCATCTCGCAACTGTTGTAAAAACACAATAACATAAACATAATAATGTTGTCAACATTTCACAGTGAACGTAATTTTCGTAAATATTTCTATAAAAACAAACAAGTTTCTGAGTAAATTAATTAAATGCTGCAACTAAATTGCTTATTTAAAGAAATTGATTCGAATAATATGCAATCGTGTCTGCTGTTTATAGGAAGTATGTGAAGCGTGGCAGGGGCAACAATACACAACGCAACAAGTTGTTAAATTGAAAATTTCCTGCAAGGATTAACTGCTCACGAGATGCTTTGGAACAGCAGATTCTCTATTTTTGGAATTAGCAGGAGCAGGCTTAACAACAAGTAATTTTGTGAGATCTGTATTATCTATGAGACAATAATCTTCGCCTGGTCATTCAGCCCTTGAATTTAGAAAGGTTGTGGATTAGTGGTCGCTGATGACAGGTGCCTTTATAAATATACAGTTTCAATAGTATATTTCCGTCTAAATACGGCCGGACTAGATCAGATATCAGCCTTGAGATACATTTACCGTATTTAGAGAGGGAATTTCAATAAACCATTGAAAATAAATGTTAGAAAAAAGCCTATTTGTTAGGTTTATAACTTTCTGTCTGTAATGAGTTTCCGTGGTTAAATATAAGATAGACCAATTTGAAGTTATCTAGAATTTTAAAGATTTGTCTTTAAATTACGTGACAAATACAATCCAATTTATTACAAGGTATTTGTTGTCGCATAAAATTTATCTTTTAGTTTCGTCTACTAGGTACTTCATTAACATTACCTTTATTTTGTACCAAAACCGCAGACAGCTGTTTCTATAGTCCTATAATAGAATAAACTATATCAGTGGGCCGTGGATACCAATGTACTTACGACTCATAGAGGAATTCGCACAATATTATTGCAATGAGTCATTGTTTTAAAGTTTGCAAATTTCCTATTAATTCCCCATAATAAAGTCCTAACATTTCCTTATATAACGCGGGGATTGTTTCGCGCAACATTTAGCTACTTTGTCTACAAAACTAATTTAGATAGGTTAAACAATATGTTGTTTACTTCCCATCATAATGAAGCGCCCTTTGTTCGTGTTTTGTGCAATATGAGCTTGTAATAGGTATTGTAGACAGTTATAAATCTTGATAGTTTTATAACAACAGTTTATTTAGCGATTAATTCGTTAGTAGTATTATAATAACTTTTTTATATTTTACATGTGGTCCTTTTACGAAGTAAATGGAATAAAAATGGAATGGAGTAAATGGAATTTTTCCTATGTAAGAGCAGGTCCGAGCAAATACTTTAGCTTAGTACCTAGGTTCACAAAATATCTATTTTCGTCCCAGGAGATTAGAATGTATCGATTGGTCGACTTCTATAGAAAGGATCTGATAATAAAGTGAAGTTAAGCGAGCTGAGCCGTTGCCGATATTTGTTCGAAACAAGTAAATAGTAAATACATAGTACATGTAAACTTTAAAAGACGGTTCAGAAATTGTAAAAGTTCATGTGAAACTATTAACATTAGGTGTTTCAACGAATAAATTGTATTGAGATCGTATCGTACACCTATGACTGATAATTTTGGGCATTATTGAATGATATTTTGACAAGAGAGATTAATGCGTATGTATACAGTTTCCTAGTGTTACGGACTAGAAGAGTGCTAGAAATCAGTTTGTTTTTGCACTTTGTCACTAGACGAAAAAGAATTCGTAGCTAATCATAAAATTAAAAGGCAGGAGTGCCCTAGACATTTAATTACTTAATTTGAACAACAGGGAGCAGTAAGTAGGTAACCTATGTAAAGGATATGTATTGTAGCCTTGTCTATTATTTCACGACATTTCGTCATACTGGTGCAATGTTGACCTATTTTGTTTTCTCGATCAATCACACCTTGATGAAACAGTCATGAAGAATGGTTGTGTAAAAATTACTTAAAACACTCGTTCACCATAAAAACATCCTGTACAAAGTTTCCTACACCTTTGAATTAGGTTTTTGTAGTAAGTCACTCTACTCTTCCAAAATGAGTTAATTGATCGATTTTAATCGGCTTAAAGAAAAGTAAACCTAATTGTAACGTAGTTAGCGATTAGTTTGATTCAGCGTAATGGCCTTTTTCGTGAGGTTTCTTTTGAAACCTGCCTTCATAATGGTGTTAGTAGGCGGTCCGAACTAGGTTACATAAAGATGACTATTTAATCTACAAAGCAAATTATTGATAAACTGGAAAGAATGCCTACTTATACATCTGACATTCATTACACCGCACATCGCGATGCCCATTCAAAATTCGTCGTAAAGTAGGAACTAGTTGTTGCATATTCGTGAAGCAACAAGTGTACCTGTTTAATTTACACGGAACGTCGTCACCTGTTAGCTCCGAGCCACTTCTTGGAAAACAGGTGTTATATTTGGGATGCAGGGTGCAGTACATACATTTTTCGTATTAATCATGATCTGTGTAATTATTGTTAAAGCGTCTCGATTGCCAACTAGCACTAGTTAACTAGTTAGTATTACGAACGAAAGCCGTAAAGCACTTATTAAATTGTATTTCCGTATGCTAGTTTCCAGGGAAATAATAAAGCGGAGAATTAAATTTTCATAACAACTAAGTAGAACACGAAACTAGCAAAATTACAATTTAAAATCATAAGATTTGGCCAAAGTTTATCCAAACAATCGATAATTTGTATGCGGCCCTCAAATGGCTTAGATACGAAGCTTTTTCGTTGGCTCCACTCCTAATAGCCTATTGTGTAATAGTCTGTTTATAAACAGAATAATGTTCACTATGGGAACACATGTCATACATTTTTCTAGGAGTTTTTATCTGCTTCTATCACTATGTAGAGAAACTTCTACCAAGTACAAGATTGGACTTTCAAAACTCAAGTCTAGTCTTTCTCAAATTTTTATTATAAATTTTTCTGCTATTGCTAAACTACGTGGTACAATATTTGGAGCGAATAGAGTGACTTGTATGAAAAATTACATGTCTGCTTATCATCCTCTAGTCAAGTCTCAAATGAATGGTGCAACTGAACAGTTCCCAACATAGTCGACAATGCATAGATGGTGTCTAGTGAACATGCAATATTAAGTTGATGTTTATAATTTTAAACTTGCAACAATAGATTGCATGTTTACTTTGTCTATGCTGTCCGCTTACTGTAACATAATCTTCGATGCTACCTTACAATAGGCACAGCCTAATCAAAAAGTCTTAGGATACTAGAAAAAAATTCCTTTTTTTAGCATCCAGATATTAAAAAAAAATGCTGCCCTACACTAGGATTTTCTCCTGTGTCGTGGGTGCCTTTAAAAACATACAATATCACATACACATGACACCCAGCCCGAAACAACAATTTGTGGATCACACAAAGAGTTGCTCCATGAGGAAATCGAACCTGCTACAAGTTGCACGGCAGCCAGTTGCAAAATAGCAGACTATTTATGTTATTTATCTATACAAAACTTTAAAATATATTGTTCTAGCATTTTGCTTTATTTTTCTAATGGTTTATTAACGAAGTACATACATTTTGATGATAATTAAACAGTGTTATCTTTAGTACTTCTTATATAGAATAGAATTAGTATTTTAAATCATGTTGCCTTTTAACTCCACCCTATAATTAATTATTGATTAATGATTATTTGCATTTAGAAGTATTATGTGATAATATTTTATTGACTTTATAACAACCCCGTCAGTATTAAAAACTACTGTTAGTTCAATTTTATTCACCTTAATAACAAATCTATCAACAAAATGCACAAATACATGTTCAATGATTTGATTCAAAAGTGAAATAACCATGGTATCAGTCAGATGTCACTCCATATGTTTAGATAGATCCTGTCACTTGATAACACATGATGAACTGGGAAATTGACCTTTCATTTGATTGCCATATGTTTCTATGTCATATCATTACAACTGATTATTTTTCTTCTCTCTACAGACACAAAATTGATTCTAGGAAAGTAATTATCAGGAAATTTAGTTTGGACAGCCTCTGATACAAAATAACGTCTAGTAAATACGCGTGAAAACAATGGGCTCACCTCGAAAACCCCGAGGCATCTACCCAGCTTGCCGATGACTCCGGCTTCTTCGAGCACCTCGCGCATAGCGGTCACTGAGGGCTCTTCTTCGGGCTCGACGCCGCCACCGGGTACTATCCAGTTGTCAGGACGTCGCGACGATGTCACCAGGAGCACCTACACGACACAACAGCAAACACACGAACTTTATAACTTCGCCATATCTTATATTACACCGCAACAACAGAAATACAACGCTAACCTCTGTTTCGGCGTCAGAACGAACGCAGATACACGCCGCGCGACGTCTAAATCCCTCGTCGTCGTAAATCCGAATCGAGTTAGGCTTCTCCTTCACCATTTTTACATTAAACACGTAAACACGAACTAAACAGACGATCACAAACGAAAAGCTGACATCAAATATAAAGAAAAACTATGAACCGAACGTAATTTTTTAATGATCAACAAACGCCATAACCGAAGTATCCTATGTTGAACGTATCCATTTTCTACTAATAAAGTTACACAACGTACATGTAAAATGAAACTATAATAACAATAACGCTACAATTAGAGCAATATTTCAGCTATAACTAGCTTTTGATCGCGTATTTCAAGCCCATGTTGAATGGTGCCTGACGTATTCTTTCTTTGCGAAAATCGAAATAGGTTTTGGAAAGCAATAGGGAATCTATCAGCTGACAGCCGGAAGTCGGAAACGGTGTTGCCCTTTATTTATTTAGATTTTATTTCCCGAATGTTGCTACTCACTGTCAGATATTATGAAAATAAAGGGTTAGCTAAAATAAAAAATCAATCATTAAATCGTACCTAAAACGAATCTAAATAATCCAGGTTAAAGATTTTACCATCCAAAATAATTTGATCAAAAATATTAGTTTCTACTATTTTTGAATATTTTGGTTTAAGGTTGGGTTAACAAACTACAAACTTGATCTGGATTATTTTATGTAGTATCTGATAATGAAAAATTAATAGTTTTAGCAATTAAAGTATTAATTTTTTTAACGTCAATTCTTATTCTTTATGTTTTTTAAACTACCAAAATCTTGTAAAATTCATTATTATATCAATGTCATGCGATGGACGTGGACCTTACAGTATCGGTCTTTGAAATGGACGCTACTGCACTACTCTAGACTTTCAAGTGTCTATATCTAATACGTCCACAATTGTCTATGACTATGTTTGAGATTGAGATTGTTGACAGTTATTTTATTTGAAATTAATTTCAGTTTTTAGTTTTTTTCAGGTATTATGGGTAAGATAATATATTTTTGAATAAACATTACAATTTAATTGATGACCGATGTAGTTATCTTTGTAACATAATTCTGAACTTAATAAATTGTAGTTGAATTTGAAATATTGGAATACTTGGCTGTGGTTCGAACGCTATGAATGAAACGATAATTGTAACTAATTACAGAGAAGAGCTTCGACTTTGGGAGGCTGCTGAAGAATCATGAGAAGAAACACAAGAGTAAACCATCACAGTTCGGCAGCGTAGCTGGTGGGGTGTGTGTCTAGAATTTATATAAACTCACAAAATTGTTGTTATCATGATGCATGGGGTAGAGTCCTCCCGTAATGTAGGTATAATGAGGTGCATTCATATAGCTGTAGTTTGTTCGTAATGCTATTGTAATGGCATGTATGTTACATTCTGCTGTTTCATATTAGCATGTATATTATCATTGATAGTAATCTTGTTTGTTTTCATTTCCATTATCATTCTGTTGGGAATGTCTACAAAAGTGTATTGCAGGTGTTTATGTTCCCAATACATTAATCATTATGTGGCATTTGAAGCAAAGTATACTTTATGAATGCACCATATTAGGTTTATGAGACAATACTTTCACCCAAGTAATCAGAATAAACTTGTGTTGCAGGTCCAGAAGCGGCTGGAAAACAACTTGAAATATAGAAAGAGCAGCCGTCTGACAGTGTTTGATAACTTGAGGAACTTGTCCAAATGTGAGAGTCCAGCCCCAGTGTCCAATGTGCAATCCAAGGTGGAACATAGGAGGCAACAGCTGGAGAAATGGAAGGAGGAAAAGGAGAAAAAGAAAAGAGAGGCTGCTTCACAGAAGAAAAAACCATTTGTAGCCGGAGTGCCGCATGCACCACTCAAGTTCGTGCCACCACCTCCTCCTCCAAAACCAATGCCGAGTACATCTGGCAGGGTGACACGGTCACAGTCAGCCAGAAATAGCGTTAAACCAAAAGAAAATAAGGAGCTGAAGGCTGCATCACAATCATTTGCACCAAAAAATGCAGCATTTAAACCACCAGAAATAAAAAATTTGACAAAATTTCCAAAGTTACTTGCTCCAAAGGCTAAAAAAGACAAGAAACATAATATAACATTTGACCCTTTGCCACCTAACAGTCAAAAGGAGTCCACCAAACAGACTCGATCTAAAACTGTGAAACAGACTGCAGTCGAGGTGAAACCTGCACGCAAGCCAACTGAGAGAACCACCAAAGGGAAAGTGGGTAATCCAATTGCTAAAACAAATAAGGTATCAGTAGCTGTTCAGCAACAGAACACTTCATCAACAAATGAATCAGATTCAAATCAGGAATTTTCTCCAATCCTGACCAGTAAAGTATTGAGAAAGTCTTTACCAGCACCAAGTTCTCCCCTAGTAGTTACCAAACCTTCCCGGAAGTCTACACCAAATGTCACACCAAATAAACCTGTACCAAGGAGTGAGTCTAGTTCTGAAGAACGGCTGCGGTCTCCGAAGTCCTTAGAAGACATTCAAATGACTCCGGAGCAGATAGCAGAAGAGGCTAAACACATTAGTCCGTGTGTCACCATGTCTCGGGGCAAGGATAACGCGAGGAAGGAGATGAAGAAGAAGCTGGATGAAGGTATGTACTGTTTATTTATAATTAGAGATAGAAAATTTTATAAACACTATTATTTGAAAAAGTCCACACATATAAACATACCATTATAGACAGTACATTCAAGCCATCTATATAATAATAATATATTTTATTTTAATATGCTTTATGCTTTACAGGGCTTCTGGACGAAGATGCCAGCCACATGGAGAGTGTGGACCATTTCCGGCGCCAGCTGGCCTCTGAAATCAAGCGTATGACTGAGATGTGTGACACTTGGGACAAGATTTCAGAGCAGACTGTGTTACCAGAGTCTATTCAGGTAAACTAGTTACTTAATTACCTATCATAACTTTCTAACTGCAGTCAAGCCTTCACAGAATATGAAATGAATTGAATTGAATTAGTAGGATTTTTATTGTCTTTTCACATTAATTAGTAAGTGTGTAAGTTGTTGTAAATATTAAATGCGCAAGTTAAACACTGGATTATTATGATCATTGCAGGAGGCAGTGCTGTCGGCAGTGGGCCAGGCGCGTCTGTTGATGTCGCAGAAGCTGCAGCAGTTCGCGTCACTGGTGGAGCGCTGCGCGCGCCCCGAGCCCGGCACCGCGCTCATCACTCCCGCAGACCTACACGGCTTCTGGGACATGGTGTTTATGCAGGTAAACCAGTAGCTTCATCTTTAAAAGGATTTACACTAAAAATTTCTTTTGTTAACACTTTCACATAGATAGGTAATTAAGGTATCAGATGCTTTTCGCCATTAGTATTATTTTTTGCTGACCACTGTGTTTTCTGATGTATGCATGGTATGTGACAAGCATTATTATAACACATATTCACGACTTGGTTGCATAGGAAAGCAGAAGACAAAAGTAGCAAAGCCTCATTTGCCAGAATACTTATTGAAACTTCAGTTTTCTTTTTTCATCAGTTTTAATTAAACTGTCAAACACCAAGCGGTCACTGGTGACCGCAACCTATTGTTCTTTAATTGTGTCTATAAATACGGTACTTGAAGAGTTAATTATTTGCAGGTTGAGAATGTTGACATGAGGTTCAAGAAGTTAGAGGAGTTGCGCCTCTGCGGCTGGGTGGAGGACCAACCTATTGAGGTGAAGAAGAAGGTGGTGAGACCAAACCCAATTGTGAAGAAAGCAGTGAAGCCCACTGGTGGCCCCAGCAGATTGAGGGAGATGATTGCTGGTAAGATATAGAATCATACATACAATATGTAATATGTAAACATACATACAATACTGAAATGTACAATGCTATTCTACAATTCTTGCTTGTTTCTATAGAACATTCGTAAATCTCATCAAAGAGCGACATTAATAAAATGAATACAAAAGTTCTAGTAATTTTCGATTTGGCAACATCATCATTTGTAACAGGCAGAACAGTTTCTCATTAATAGTCTTTATTTAAATACTTACCATTATTTTTTAGCTGCAAGAAAGGCCAAGAAGGAGCAAGAGGAAGTTGTTCCCGTAACATTGCAACCGCCTGCAGAGGACAGCAAGACATTCGAGGCAGGCTTCTTCAGCGTGCGGTCACCAGTTCGATCCCCAGCACGGACCTCCCACTCGCCTGCACCGCGCACTCCCGCCAGTAAGAACAGCTTGCTAAAGCTGTGCTCTCCAGTGAAGCTAAGAAGGCCTCTGCCAGCAAGGTATGGTTATGTCTAACTAGCATGGTAGGGTTTCATTTCATGGTGTATTATTTTCAATCAGTTAATATTTATCCTGAATCAGGTGGGTACATTTATAAGCAGTCAAACGAAGAAGATACAGATATATAATTCACTTAAAAAATCATGTAAATCTTTCGTTTCAGAATTCCGCCTCTTTTGCGATGTTGCGCGCTTCAGTATTTGGCAAGAATGTAGAGTGTGAAGGAATCGCGTTACTGCCGGTAAGCACTACATGTTACTTAAAATATTAATTAGTTGTTACTTATTAAACATCTGCATACAATACTTACAATAGATATTATATTTAACGTATTTCTCAATCCTCGCAGCAAACTCCAACTCCGTTAACTCCGATCAATCTGTACGCGACTCCGGGCCGCAGTATACTCAAAGGTGCCAACACCAACACAAACAACAAGTCCACTAGGAAGTCCATCAAAATGGTCCTGTTCAACCGCTCCGACACCGACATACAGGACGTGTCCTATCGCACGCCAGACAGCGAAATAAATGAAGACAAACCTCAAGAATTACAAATGGACAATGGTGTTTCATTTATGGACTTGGAGAAGGTTGAGAATAAAGAAAATTCTAGAAGGAAGTCCAAGCTGGTGAGGCAGGACGCTGAAGACAGGAGTCCTGTGGTGACTAGGAGTCGACGCAAGAGTATGAACACTACTGTCGATGAGGATGTCATTACTCCACGGAGGTCGTCGCGCAAGAAGGTGCTCCACGAGTCTGAGGATAACACTGTCGAAGAGAAACCGAAGCGATCGACCAGAAGACGTAAGAGTGGGGTGCAAGTGCAGAACTGATGTCAGTAGACAAGGACCAGGACTTTTAATCGTGGTCATGTTATTGTAGCCATAAAACTACTTTAATAATGTATGCAATTATTGACTTTATTACGTTTAGAGCTTTATTCCCTAGAAGTTGCGTGAACAGAGTATGTTCAGAACGTCGAATATTTGATGAAACATGACCTTTTAAAGTGAAATCGCCATTAAAATTTTCACTAATCACTATCGAATATGAATTCTAAAACTCACTTTGTACATCGAAGTGGTGTTTGTAAGAGTGCACACAATGCGCAACAAAATACGCCGGTGATAGCATTATTATAGGAATTATAATAGTAACTAGTACTAGTAGTAAATAAAATACCAGTTGATTAGCATATTGTTAGAAGCAGGTGAAGCTCATACAGAGGCCAAAATCTATATTTTTATAATATTTGTATTTTAGCTTATTATAGAGGTTCCAAAGACAAAATGGGAACCTTTCTTAGAAATCTCAAGATTTCAAATAACTTTGGTTGTAATAAAACTTGTATCTTATTTAGTGGAAAATGTTGAAAATGATCATGTTCAGTTATGGCACATTTTGGAGAATGTTAATATGAACGAGGAATAATGTGATTTTAATTAATTTGATCCAGTTTTTGTAGATTTAATTGTTTTTATTTTTTATTGGTGAGGTAGTCTCTGAGCAAGTGCCTTTTGAATTTAAATCAATATTTCATTAGATTAGAAATAGATTCTATTTGTGGACGTGATAAATTGTATGGTTGGATTTATTTTAAGTTAAAATGGGTTGATAATAATTACAGATTTGGGTCGAAGTGTTACTATTAAATCAATCTCCAATATAACATCCCTATTGGGGATTCCCTCTTTCTCTCTTACATGTATCCTTTCCAAAGTACTAGTGTGTGTGTGTGTATCTAAAATGTAGTAGGAGGCTGCCTCGGTTTGTGTTAAGTTAGTTTATGTCGACCACGTGTGTGATGTGTGAAGTATGCCATGATTATTGTACAATAATAGTAATTATACAAAGTTATTAATAAATAATGAGTTTTATTTGTTTCACACCGCACACAGTGTCCAGCGTGTAATGGTTCCCAAAACATAAATGCTTTTATTTAAAACTTATGTGTCTTACGACCAAGTTGATTCACGGTTCATTCGTTTACAACCGACGTTGACCTACTTACGTTTAAAAAGAGCGACTAAATAGCATCCAGCTTAATGTGCAATTTGAAAGCATGGCTTACGTAAGCGGGGATGTAACGCAGCGCAGGTTCGAGCCAAGTGCAGGGCATAACTAACAGGAGTTATCCGTTGGCAGTGCTGGCCCACTACACTGACACATTAAGCGCGGTGCCAACTCGTTATCGCGACAACGAGGATTTCGAATAAAAACTAGACTAACTTAGGAACTCCCCTTTTGTTCCTAATGCAAATAGGATAGGCACTTGCAGTGATTGAAGAAGGTTTACTTTGGCATTCATGGGACTTTCAAAGTTGGTACTTTTCCAAATTCTAATTCTCTGCCTTGATGAGAGAACTGCAAATACTGATGATGGTTAGGTACAACTTATTTATGTTACTTATATAAAATTTTAAAACAATGCTGTTTTATATAACAATTAATTAGAAACAAGCGTCCATTACAGTAGCTTCATCTAAAAAGGAATCTCGAGCAATTCCCCGACACTTGACGTTACAACTGGCCTAAAATGAAAGCGACAATTAAAAATGGCAGTAAAGGTTGCGATAATAATAACAATTAAATTACTCGTCCTTTGTTAAACCGGAGATAACAATGACTCAGATTAAGTAAATCTATGCAAATTCAGACTGGGCGGAAGACAGTAATAGGGGGTAATTTGGGCTCTCGCTGGCGATACTGGAAATGGTTAGGAAAATGCTTGAGTATAAATAACGACATCGTATTTCTAAAGATGTTTGAATTTTTGTTATAATTTTAATATACATTATTAAAACTACAATAATGGACAGGACAATGCTCTCAAAAAGGTGGTTTGATTGATTAGACTTCCCTTCGGAGGCAGTGTTGCATGATCGGCATCGGCACCTCTTGTGTGTAAATCGGTTGTTGTTTCATCAGGGTGTTTTTCTTTTCATGAACTGATTTTATATGAATAAATTACATTTGGCATTTCCCAAAGGCGTAAGAATAACGTAAGTCAGTAAATGAATCTTACGAATCAATTTTAAACACAAAATGCAAGATATTTTAATTGTAGAGTGGAGTACTAGAATAATGTTGCGTACTTATTTAATTCGAAATCCGAATGACCCTCAACCCTTTTGCGGTCCCCAGATTGCACCGAGGACCAGTTAAGTAAGTAGGTACTTAAATAAACATAACACAGTTGTATTTTAAGTCAGAATATGCAAATACCGTACGTTTAAAACGTTTCAGTGCACCATTTGTTGCGTTATCTCGTAATTACTTGGAGCCAGAATCTCGTTGTAAGTTAAAAAATTCGTTAAAATTTGTCTCGTGGCAGCGTTTTAGGGACGTGAACATTTCTCGAAAATAAAAAGTAAACACATATGCATTCGCGCTGAGATTAATGTCGATGTGCGACTGCACTAGTGATGATGCAAAAATATCGATAAGGGTTATAATAAATAATAGTTTTAACTTATTTTTTTCTGTTAGGTACTTCCCTACATCAACAGGTGAATTCAGCTGTAGGTACCCATAATAAATGTGTCTAAGAAGACATCATCACTTTGTGCCGCTTTGTGTCATCAGATAGAATTTTAAGCTGGAAGAAGCCCTGCATTTTGACTTCTTGAGAATGTAGGTACAATCTATCTTCATTAAGTTTAACGCTAATATAATCAGTCATGTTCATAATTTTACTATTAGTTAGGTACTCAATTTGTTTATGATGATAATATGGTAACCAATTAACCAGATGATACTAAACTTTAAGACTATTAACATTAACAGTTTCCTGATGGTCTTAAATGGTATGTACCTGTATAGGATAGTTATTTTATTTTATAACCTCATAATTTTACCGATACATAACTGCATCGACACTGCGCCAGTCAACGCCTCGAGTCGGCTGTCGTCTTGTCTTGTGGCTGCTGCAGGAATTTTATTTCACTTCATTTCGCTGTGACACGCGCTCGCGCCTCGTTCACCAAACAGGGATTATGCAATAACACATTTCTCGGATTGTTTTTAAGAAACTACCTCGGCAGAGTCAGTCGTGGAATGTTACGGAAATGATCCATGACTTCTTACTTCTGCGCTCTGTAGTCGTACAGAGTCGTCAGGATGTGACGAGGAAATTCCAACTATTTGGTCTTTATTTCGTAGATAATCTTTAACATTTTAGGGAAGTATACTATTTCTAATAGCAATGTGTAATTGTTTAGGTTGTCCAATCACTTTTTGCTAGTCCCGCATAAATTTTTCAGGCCGTATAATATGTTAGTGGTTATTGGTGGTGGGTATATACTTATTAGTTAGTCACTTGACCTCTTAAACCACCATAATTACTTATTTACAGGAGTACCTTACTCCTTTTATTTCCAAGACGATACATCTTCATTCATCAACCCCCATACAGCCTTCTCAGTAATGAACTCTATGACCTCCGAGGGCAGAGGCTGAATAGTCATTGTTTTTGCTTCGAGACTGCGGGGAGGACGCAAAAAATAGTTGTCTATGGCAAAAGGATGGCGCGCGCTGCGATGCGAATAATCCACTAGTAATATCAACAGTGTCTCTTCTCTTCGCTTTCGTTGGGGGAAATCAGGGTGTCCGTGTGTTTACAGCCGCAGGGACAGTCTACAATAATGAGTGAAATGTGTTACGAACTGTGTGGGGCTGTTTGATGTGCTGGACACCTTTTTAACAGTGTGAAGTAATTTTCACTGCACCCCGCTTTCTTTATCTTTTTGCTGTGCTTGCTTGTGGTGTGTTTACTTTTACTTCTAAGTACCTACTATACCTATCTAAAATAACATGTTTTAAGGTACTTACGTAAGCATTTAATTAAGTACCTACTATAATTTAAACATTTAAAACACTCATCTGCTCTGAATTAATCAACTGTAACTGAGGATCTAATCTCACTGTATTTTCATTTTTCAAATATATCTTAAACAGTTATAGTAGATATGAATGTCTCGTATTTTCAGCAAGCATGGTGTTCCATGTCGAGCAAAGAGAGAGTGAGTTTATTAAAAATTGGATTTGTTCATAGCGCGGCACGCGGTGTGCACGGTGGCGGGTGCGCTCTTTTATTAGTACATTATTATTATTATTTTATGATTACCTCAATAAGTGGGGAAACAAATAATAAGTTTTTTCAGACTTAACATTACATTGATATTTCTTTGAATTTTTCTGTTATGTTCAGTGCTTGTTTGTTATACGATTAATTAAAACTTGTAAAATAAAAGGCGTGATGTGTTTAACACTAGTGTGCGTGATGAAAGGTAATCCCCATTAAAATCAATTTCAACTTTATTCTTACTCTGCCTTTAGGAATTTGTGTAAATGGAACAAGTTGTAATTAAATTAGCAATGAGCCCATTAAATCTGTGCGGCCCCGAGTCGCGCCGGGCGCACGGCAAGATGCGTAGTTGTAAATGAGATCGGAACTTGTTTAATCCGGTTTGTGACCCTCCCGCCCCCGGCATGTCGACCTAAAATATTGCTGACATTTTTCAGGGACTTAGTTCTCTACTCACCCCTCAGCGATGAGGGATAGTTATAACGAGATGCGTTTGTTTGCTATCCGAAGGGGCGGTGAATTAATTTTGTTGAATTTTCAACTTGATATATTAAAGTTGGTAGATTTCCGTGGCCGAATGTGTAAACGATCGCACGGCAAACAGTTTTAACTTTAATTTCGTCCGACTTCGAGTTATTTATTAGATTGAAATGTTTAATCAATTAAGTATATTAAAATTTATTTTTAGAAATAAATTTGTTTTCACTGAATGAGAGGAAATTGGAATGCGAAGGTAACTGGAATTGG